AGTGATTAATTGTAAAATGCACACTAATCAAGGACTAATGAAAGCACAGACTATAAAAGTAGAAAATATTTTTAAATATATAATATTTTATTCTTATTCCACTGGTTAATTAAAAATTGTAAAAAGTTTAGTATAAGAATATATTCATTATAAATACAACAAAGCAATTAATTTGATTAATAAAAATGGCCTACTGTACCACGCTGGCCAGACGTACCTCCTTTCTAAGGAGAGGCCTATGTCCAGCAGTGGACTAGTATAGGCTGTTGATGAATAAAAATGGACAAATGCGAATCAAGCATTTTAAAAAAACAAACCGAACTTTGCCGGTCTAGAAGTGCTCCCCCTACGCATTGACGTACGTCCCAGTCAAGAGGTAACAAGTAAGTACCTAGGTCACATATGCTTCAGCACACACCTCTTAGTAGTAGAGGAGCCCTAGAAGGGATTTCGGGACTTACTCGAGCGTGTCAGATTAAGATAGGAGGAATACCTTACACCTAGTGGAGTACCTCATACATGAGCTCACATATAGGATCGTCTAGGGCCGCCCATCAGATTAGTTTAAAAAAAAACACGATGGCCAAAAATACTCGAGCGTAAGGTAAGTTGAGTCAATTACATGCACATTAGTTGTATCTAAGAAAAACAGACGATTTGAGCGTGTCATAAAGCAGTGGGAGTCACAAAGTTTCAAAAAAACAACACATTACCTTGACATTTCTTTTTTATTTTGAAGCATACCATTGAAGAAATCTTCTTTAAATGTCTACATAATTTTTCGTGCATTTATTTGTCACACTCAAAATAACATATCGAAATAACATATCCCCAACATATCTGATTTGAATATATATTTTTTATGATTTCCTCCCCTTACATTTTTGAACACCTGTAGAAGCTCTTCCATCGCTGAAAGTCGAAACATTATAAGACTTTTATTCATTCTATTACCTAATCTTTCAAATGCAATAGGTCCCCATGCGCTCGAGTACATCCCCATTTAGCATCATGGGCTCCCCTACTAAAGTACGTAGCAAAATGCACTACCGTATTTTTAAGTATGCAAAAAGCCGTTAACATTAGTATAACTTTTTGAAAAATTTACTTATTTTTTTCCAACGAGGATTTATTCTTTCAAGTGTCAATATGATACCATAATTTATTCAATTTTTTTTTTAAATAAAATTTATGTGGTACACTTTCTTTAGCGAAAGTGCACCTATGTCGTTACGGCTGGGCGGAGCCCTATTTTCGGCGTTGAATTAAAATTTTAAATAATTTAGATAGAGTACCGGGAGTCAGAACCTTTTTCTTGAAAATTTTACTCCTCTTCGAGTATCTTTTTTCAAAATTCCTTAAATGTTAATAATTTTTGAGTTATTAACAAAAAAACGAAATGCAATATTTTTTTCATCTTAATTTGTAAATAACAATTGCAATTTTTTATGACCTAATACATACATTCGATACATTTAAGTTATTATGATAAGGATTTTTTTAAATGATCGATGAGTTTTTAATTCGTCGAAGGTCATCTTACTCATTATTAAACAATCTTTCGCTAAGTCGAACCGCTGGTACTGCAATTTTTCAATGACACAAATAAAGCTAGAAATTACTATCTGTTTTTTTAAATACCTACTATCGTTCTGCAAGTCCTGGGTCGAGAGGCTTTCTGGACCGGAACCGTTACATTAGCTCTCCATAGGGTTAGTAGATTTTCGTCTAAAGTTGGCGGCAAAAGTAACACAGCGAAAGTAGCATAGACAGAAACAAAATAAAAGTTTGTGAAAAAAAAACAAATTGACCTGACCGTTTCTACTTGAATCATTGTATTTTCAGTTGTTATTGAGCGTTTCATTGTTGATGGTATCATTTTGTCATTAAACTACGAACGCCCATTGTTCTATTTATAATGTTATGGCAATTTAGAAATAGACAGGTCGGTACTTAATTAGTTTTTATCAAGGTGAGACAGCAATATAAACGACTTAATATAGATAATATACAGCAAGTTGTGTATTTATTACTCATACAAGGAACAAATTGTTTACGTAATTTATTTTATTGACTACGAGATAAGACATTTGAAAATATCCGGATGATTTGAAAATGACAAATGAAAATCAAAGATTGTGTTTTTATTTTTAAAGTTTAAGTCTGTTATAAATTACAGCCAATCCGTTTAATAAATAAGAATATCAAGCTTTTGAAGGTCACTAAGACTAAGATGGTTGGTTCTATCCAAAAGGAATTTTCAAATTGGTTCATAAATGACCGACTTATGAGGTAACAAACAAAAAAACACGAGTGTGCTTTGGACCACACGACTGAAGTAATACTTCTTTAAAGACATAAGAGGAATAGAGAAAGAAAATGTGTGCTCGCACCTTTCTCCCTTCCCCCTACAGTAATATACGAAACGTAGCTCTTTCTCTTTCTATCTTAACTAACTTAGAGGGAGATATCCCTCTCAACCACCATTCAGCTCGACCTATCACACTTTTCGTAACGCTCTCGTCACGCTTTCACCAGCTTATTCCCTAAGTCAAGCGTGCGTAAAGAAGTTTTACTTCTAAAAAACCTTTTGAAGCTGGCAAAAGTAGGAAGAAAGCTTCGTTGGTCTAATCGTTAGCGTCAGGCAGCTGTTCAATATGTATCTATTGACAGCGTTCGTTCCCGTATTGATAATTATAAAAATTAATGCGATGAAATGATTAAGTTAATTAATTATTATATAATATAAGAAAGCCATTATGCACTTTTAAACGTTTACATCGAGATTAATTTAAAATCAGCGAACTCAATGCATGCAATCACAAATAATGTGTATTGCCAATTTTTGCCCGTTCTTGGCGTTTAAAACAATAGATCAGCTCAAACAAATCCTTCAACGAAGTTTAATTGTTATCACTAATTTGATGAATTACGGTTGTATTTAATTTAATCCTCGTGCGACAACAATATAGCAAAAAAAGTCTGTACTTAGCCCTCTTGAACTTCCTATTTCAACAAGCTACAATTACTTTACATACCTAAGTACAACTTCATGTTCATCAATAACCTTGTTTACATCTGTCACCTTGATGGTTATTTCTTACGTTAATCATTTGCATTACAATAGATCAGGGGTTCCCACCAATCCAGTCTGAACATTTTTAACAATGTACCATAAAACATATTTTCTTAAAATGATTTGCTTTGTTATTTTTTTTAAAGATTAAATCTTTTAATATATGAATGTCTACCAGATTAAGATACAACACATACCTAAGCTGTTAGCTAAGATGGAGCATCGTATTTTCATTTAAATTCCATTTATTTTTTTGTTACCTTAGTTTTTAAAAGATGTGTTGGTATATCAGAATAAAAATATGAAATACCTTCTATTTAAAATTGTAGTTGAAGCCTTTGTCTGAGTTAAGCTTTAAAGGTAGTTAAAATTAAACCGGTTTCAGATTTGGTTTCTATCTTGATCTATGACGTGCTTGAAACAGTTTTTATTTCCTGCCAATTTTGGATACGAGAAATGTAAGTAAGTTATTATGTTGTCGAATAAATCTATTATCATCAGCCTATCGAAGTCCACTGCTGGACATAGGCCTCTCTCATTCCACGCCACTTCGATAGATTTTCATCTTCTCGCATCCAACTTCTAAAGTAAATATATCGTTAAAGTAAATTATTTAAAGACAAAGTTATAGTTAAATGAAATACTAAATTAAGAAGGCATTTAATAAAGCGTTTTAGTTTGTTTATTTTCAGCGCCAGAGCCCCCTCGTAAGCTATAGACGAGCTACGTACAAACGTACGAGTGACACAGTTGTTGTTTTTACGCAACAGTATTCACTATGAGATTTCATGTTGTCAGGCTACCTGCCTTTTGCCTTTGCTTACTACTCACAATCAGGGTCCAAATATTTTATGGAGCTCCTGTTTTCGCCTTGTACTCGTACAGATAAATGTCAATCGGATAATCTTAATTGTTATTAATCATTACGAATTTACCCGTAACCGTAGATAAAGTGCGTTTATGTCAACCCTGGGGGACTCCCTTTGTGCTCTCTGAAAAACCAAAACAGTACGAGACGTTTCGGTATTAAAACAAAAGTCGGGGCAATGAAAGTTTTAGTTACTCAAACCATAATGTTTAGTAAAGTAACTGTTCTTTTCTTTTTAGAACACGCAATGGTACATAGATTATATTATTAGATTTGTTTCCCAATGAATAAGTAATGAAATTAATTTCTCACATGCAAAAATGTAGGTTCGTATTTTCGGTTTAGAAATGTAGTCGAAAGATACGAAACCAACGTCCATTATTGTATATGTTTACATATATGTGGTAGAATTAAAATTTCACATGGTGTTTTTATACAATCAACTTAGGTTATGGCTGGTTAACTGTGTAACAGTTGATCGTACCTTCAAACACTTCCATGATATTCGTGAGAATTTATTTTTAATGGTTTCCAACTTTGATTTATTTAAATATCTGATTACCTTCTAATCATCGGATTCACTATTTCATCGTTATCAGAACTCAATAGTTTTGATAACGATGAAACAGTGATAATGGTTTGTGATGGATTTGCGATTGAAGAGTTGCTATGTCAAATCTAAGCTGATACCTACACATAAGTGAGGTGAATCAACTTGTAACACTTATTAGTTCCTCCATCAATCTTAAAAAAGGTAGAAACAAAACCGCCTAAAAAATAACTCCACTCCTATATACCTACTTTTGCATTACACATTATAAGTGCTAGCAATTTTTTTAAATGTAATATTGTGTCAAACTAAACTGAAAGGAGACCCTTTTTTTATTAAAGATATAATTAAAATACTTACTTAAATTAATAATTTTGATAAAATATTATAGTTAATCATGTCATTGTGTAAATTATTTTGAACTCATTCTAATATTATTGGTGTAATATATTAATAAATCTTAAAAATATCAGCATAAGAAATGAATAAACTGTTTTTATTTACAGAGCGGTGGAGAAGTCATAATAGGGAAGATAGCTAAAGAGGAAGTAATGGAGAATACACCAAACGGTACACCCAACAATACACCCAACGGGGTAAGCCGGGAAAGACATTTAAATGGTAAGTTGATTCTCAAATCTTTGATCAACCTAGGTTTAAAGAAGGTTACAAGTTGAATGTAAAAAGAGGTCAAAATGCTTCTTTTCAAAAGAGGTAGCGGCGGAAACGCTCGTGAATGTAACCTCCTCTCCCCTTGAATCTAGGGGAAGTGACTCAAAGGGTTGCACTTATGACTCTGAGTCGCAGTGTCTATGGGTAGCGTGAGTTACTGACTGTCTGCTCGTTTGCTCCCTTACACCAAAAAAAAAACAGTGGAACTCCGGGAGTCCCAACAGAAGTAAACTTGAAATAATTTTTTGTATTTTAGGTTCGAAAAGTTTCGACCTGAATATATATCTATGTTATACACAATATGTGTTTATATTATATATATTGTTATATTATCAATGTATTTCAACCCAAACTCAACTCTCGTGTCGTGTTACAACAGAGGTGTCGGTAACGGTAATAGAATTTTCCCATCTCAAAAAATGTGTTTTTGTTAAACCATACACTACATTCTTTTGTTTGTTGTTCAAAAATGCCCAACGCTCCTAAAGAAGTTTACAGTTCAAAAAAAATACGCATCCGCTCCGCTGCGAAACTTTTCTTTTAAGATCTACCATCCAAATTCTGCGTATCTACAGGCCAGCTAACAAAGAATAAACACCATCTGCCCCCTAAAAGCGTTTGTGGACTCAAGCTATTGTTCTGGCCCGAGTCTGAAGTATTCAGTGAGGATTTTTTTCAATTTCTCTTATAGATAATGTAGATAGCATCACAATAATATTTGTTAGTTTTTACATCACTAGTACAAATATTGTGTATATAGTTCAATCTCTGTCTTTTTGGTACTTCTTGTATCTTTATAATAATACATATTCTTAATTACATGCATTATTATTTTGCATATATGCATGCATATTATGCATATTATGCATTATTATGTTATGTTGTAATATATTATTACATAAATTATTATGCGAATGGATACCTGGTGTCCAATAATTTGGATTAGGTTTAAAATAAACATAAATAGATAGTTAAACATTAATATCATCATTATCTTTCTCTCCTTTTTCTAAATTTATTGGAGTCGGTGCAATGAGTTTTTTTCTTCCGTTCTACTTGATCCGACATCCTTTTCACGCATCCTTCATTTCTTTGTGATAATTGCGAAAAATAGTTAAATAAAATATTGAAATATAGTTATCTTAAAAAAGTACCTGGTACCCGCGACTTCGGTCGCCTGGAATTTGATTTGCGCGTTCTTAGTTCTCTGTTCTCGTTAGTCTGTAGTACCGGGTTCGATTCCTGGACCGGGCAAAATTTTATAGGGTTTTTCTGAGAGGCAAAAAAGCGTATGTTACTCCTTATATAATAGTAAAATACTAATAAAAGTAGTAAAATACTATCAAAATCGGTACAGCCGTTTTGAAGAATACCCGGAACAAACAGACAAAAAATATTTCAACATATATAATATTTCAACATATTCTCAAACAACCGTGTGAGTATAAAAAGACCTATTATTTTGACATTACAAACAAACACTTCTATTCTATTTATTTGTATAGATTTCACTGATTTCAAGTCGCCTAATTCATGAAAAAATAATAGACATATAATTAATACAGTTTCGTCATCCCCTTCTTTGACCCTTTGTAGGCGGAATATTTCCTTAAATTTAAATTAGTCCAACCTTGAGTAGAACCAACTCTACATATTAAAAAAGTATATTGAAACCGGTCCACAAATAAAGACATCGCGGAACGATACACAAAATAACCACAAAATAACATCAATTGAATTGCGAACATCCTTCGTGAGAACGTCTGAATTTACGCCATTATGATAACTTACATATATTAAACTAACCGAGTAGGTACTTGATTAGCGGTTGTTTTGGTGATTATAACAATGCCTTCTAAACACCAACCATTATGCATTATGTACATATTTCGCAAAATAGGTAAACAATTGTAGCGTTACCTATTTTCATAGCAAAACCTCTCTATCGTGTAGTTGTGCTTAAATTGTTTCTGGAATGGTTTCATCCTACAGTTAAGTTAACAGTTAAGATTAAACTACTTCACGAACGCTTATGATCATATCGAACTCGTTTAAATATAAACATAATAGACCAACATATGCATTAACATAAACTTATATTAACATAAATCTGATCCTCATAGGACCTTATAATGTAACTAAGTTAAAAGTTTTTTTACATCAGACAGTTAGCCACTAATTGTAGATATCCCACGAAAAACATCCTATGTTCCAAAAAGAAGATCAGTTTGTAAATAACGATGAGCATTTTGACAAAAATGTCGTCAACTTCTCATGTTTGTCAACATAGCGGAAGGCATTCTGCGTAGTTTTAGTGTATATGTTTATATTATTCGTGTACCTCTTAAATAGGGGATATCGTTTGTAATGCTTTAGATTTTTGTTGGAGATGCGATGCGCTGTTAACTAAACACTGAGTATTTAAAAAGAAGATTTTAAAAATTAACATGACCATATCAAAAAGATCGACGTGGCATCACGCAGGTGATCACTGGGAAATGATGTTTCGGGCATCACCTGTGTCTGATCCGCAAGGAGCCAACGCCTGAGTGCCACCACTGCTATGGCCAGACCGTGGACACGGCTCTCCACACGCTGGCAGAGTGCCCGGCGTGGGTTGAGCAGAGGCGAGACCTCGTAGCGGCCATCATAGTGGGAGTTCTCTCGCTCGATAGCCTGATTGCGGCTATCGTGCGGAGCGAGAGTGCGTGAAAAAAAGTGCGTTCTCTGGAACTTGTTAATTACTGATAACTACTTACGCAGGGGATATCATCGGCTGTCACCAGGGACTTCCTTTCTAGGGTATACCTGGTTCCCCGGCTATTAGTACCCGAGACGGCGTGCGGTTTTAGTCGGTTCGAGTCCGACATGCCACCGATAGGTGGTGGTGGAAAAAAAAAGGTTGATGAGAACATAAAAAACACTGCCTTTATGCGGAATTTAATTGACGAATTATAATTGACGCAGATATCAGTGTAACTTAATTCCTACAGCTGCAACTCCCGCCAAATATGCCTATAATGACTATGATTAATTAGAATATTTTTTCGGTAAAAGCATGGTTACATGAATATACTTTATTAACTTAAAAAAATTAGACATGTACCAGATCCTGTTAATAATTTCAATAATCAAATTGTACTAACCAACTTGAACTTGTGAAAGAAGACTAAAACAGTAACAAAAAATGTAAAGATAATCATAAAAATATCTTAGCCCCTAATAGCTGTTTCATAAATAATTATTGAAAAAAGTATTGTATGATTCATGCTATAAATAAACAGATAGGTGTATCCACAAAGCTTTATTACTACTTGGTTTGAACCTGGTGTAACGCGAGTTTAAAATAACTGTTCTGTTGGTATCGTAACACTCATATAGTTTCACTCGACAAAATGACTATGTCATTGACCTTAGTAATGGTATTGCTGTATTTCTTATCAGTCATCCTTATTGGCTATTGATTACATGGTTTTGAAATATACCATGTAAAACTTCTCTGTCAGCAATATAGTTATATGGGTTGTAGAATTAGCTTTTTATAGTCTTTGATTTATGCGCTGCATGTGTTTAAGGAGAGGCCTATGTCCAGCAGTGGACTAGTATAGGCTGTTGATGTGATGTGATGTGTTTAAGTACACCCGAATTATTGTAATTATAACAATATTGTAGCATTAGTAAGAAACGGTTATGGCTCAACCTTCATGTTGAGTAAACATTTCAATCCGGCAGAAAAATCCTGAGGGTTGAAATAGTTATGATTTTTTGGGAAACTGACCTACATTTTTACATCTAAAAATTACAAAAAATTAGATTTATATGACAGCATCTTTAGTGTTGCTAAAAATTCCCCGTTTCCGAAAACGTATTTATTAATTATTGGACGCAAAGATATTTTCTTTAAAGTTTCCGAGTTTCCGTTCTATTCCGTTCCGTTTCTGAAAAACGAAACGTGCGAAATAAATTGTAATATTCAAATACTTTATTCCTGCGGTGGATTTCACTTAAATATTTTCATGGATAATTTTTGAAAAGGCAGATAGTACAAATACACGAAGAATATTCCCCTTCGTGTTTTTTTTTTGCGTTATACCTACTCCCTATTTTTTCCCGATATATTACGAAATGTTTGAACAACAATGTATGTTCCATTTTTGTCAACAGTTCTGTATCTAAATCCCCTTTAACCCGTGGTCCTACCGTACTGCGGAAATCTTAAATTTATTCTATCTGGCAGTTCCAGTGGGACCATGGCCAATCTAGTCAGGTAGACCCACTGCACTAGAGATATGGCTAAAAGTGGATGAGTAGGTATTTATGAAATAACACTAAACAATTGTAAGCACGTAACTATATAATTATTTACTAACCCAAATTGAGCCTCTTGTTAACTTAATAAAAAATATAAATTCGATAATCCTCTGTTCATCTACATAATCTATATTATAATTTTGTTATTATCTTATAATTATATAAAATATTTATTATTTTGTTGAGTTTTTTGGGATCATCTTAACTTTTCTAATACTAAGCCAACCGTAACGCCACGCGCAAGTAGCTCCATATGTATTTGTCTTATCCAATCGTCATTTTTTATTGCAAGTTTTGATCTTGTTCTGACTCGTGTATTGTTTTTAAATTTGACAATATATTTATTTCATTTAATAACCTTGTATGTTAGTGTTTTTTATTAATTTTCTTATTATTATTTTCTGTGCCACGATTCACATACGTTATTTGTATTTTTTAGGTAGGTATGTTGATAATAAACTCTTTGCGGCACATCTCTAATATGGTGGGACTACGGGGAATTATTTTTCAGAATGCGGTGGGGCTGCGAGAAGAAAAAGAACCCCGTGGACCACGGGTAAAAGGGGATCTAAATATTTACTAGAATTGTAATAAAACTCATTGTAGAATAATCACTTCTCTCGTTTTCAAATTTATATTGTTGTAATAGTAGACGCACTTACTGACAATATGACCGCATGATGTTGAATTTAAAAGTAAACCGCATGTGACATGAATTGGTTAAATAAAAAATATATTTTCAAAAAAGCTTGTTAGCCTCCTACAGCTGGATAGCCGTCCGTAAAAGATACAGTAAGATACAGACAGACTTGTAATTAAGTAGCATTTGATTCAAATACCGTAAGACAATAGTTTAATTAATATGATAGTAGGTAGGATAGTAGGTAGATAGGTAGGTAGGTAGGTATAAGTGTATAATATGTAATCTTTCTATAACTTTATTGTAGACTTCTGTAAATTGAAGGATGTAAGATAGTTGAAGTTTATTTTTATTTGATAACATAGTTAATTCATAACAAGGAATATCAAAGTCTGTCTACTTAATCAATATGTACCTATTGTCAAATTATGTATAATGAACTAATTACTGTTTTCTGAAATTGAAACGTAACTACTTCAAATTGAACGAATATTGTACCAAAATGTGAAAATGGGTCACAATTAAAGACTTATGTATCAATTCACTTTTAGGTCCGGATCAGGTGGTTCCATCTGAAAGTTACACCACCTCACTACCAGGCGAATTTGTCAAACTACGGATTGAATCTAGAGGCCCAGCAGCTGAACCTGCCATCTCGGTGCCCGGCTTGCTCAGCAGGACTGTAGCCAGATACCCAGATGCTACGGCACTAGCCACAAAAAAAGCTGATGGAAAGTGGCACAAAATTACTTACAAGTAAGTTTTCAACATTACTAAAATCAAACAAAAACACCTGACTAAATAACCCGTTCAAAGATTATAAAAAACGTGATGTCTGCGTACAGTCGAATAGATTTTCGTAAACATCTAAGAATACTCGATGAAGTTACATTTTAAACGAAAAAAAAACAAAAAATTAGCAAGCCCGTATAAAACAATTAGGCGTAGTAATTTATTCTGCCAATTATTAGGTGCAGGTATTATGTTATGATCCAAAAGGCGACCGCAGAGCGGGATCGGGAGAGAGCCGATTCCGCTCGAAGGAGGTGGCGAAGGGGACGCGGCAGAAATCGCTATCTCCCGGTTTTGCGGCCTAAGGGTCGTTGCGGCCACATCTTAGGGCCATGTGGCCGCTGCAAACGACCCGAGACAATGACACTCCGGTGCGGCCGGGGCTGTCGTCCAAGGCGCTGTTACGTCTAGAGCAGTGAGAGGCGCGGTAGCGTCTCGCCCAAGGGTGACTACGGTCACCCCGGGATGTGCCTCAGACATAGGGTACGGCAGGGAGGACTCCAGAAGCCTCTGATGCGTTCCTGGAGCTCCTGCCGACTGCCGAGGTAGGCCACCGCGGGGTTTAGTGGGTAGACCGGTTTTCCTGGAATCCCACACACGCCCTGCGTTTCCCAACCGAGGGCATTCTCCGCGTAAAAGAAAAAATAAAGGAATAGGTATTATGTTAGGTTACATAATTATGTCTATCTAATGCTATGAGAATATAGTGCCTTTGTACGCCTACTTAAAATTGATGTAAAAATACACACAATACTGTAGATATCTATATACTTTTATTCAATCCCGCATAGAATATCTGCGCGCTACGTTTACATGAAAAGTAATCTGAAAGCTTATTAGTTTTAACAAGAAACAACTACAAAAATCGATAGCTACGTAAATCATTTTCAATTTATTGAACAATAGGTTTACTAAAAAGTTATCAACTTACTATAATGTTACCTTCAAAATATTTGGTGAGAAATTATATTTCGAACAAAACATGATACCTAATTATGATATAAGGACAAATTGTTTTTGTCGTTATGGCGGATATGATTTGAAGGGAGATAGGAAGATCTTTATCTTTGTTTTTATTTTATGCATGTTTTATTAAAATAATTAGTAGTATTTATCAGGATCTGTATCTTGGCAATTAAAAGACAACGCTCGTAAATTAAATAATCATTTCCCATGAATTAATAATTGTGTTATTACGAAAATTTAAAATTGTACGGTTTTCACAATGGTTAGGAAGTCGTCATAAAATTTGATTCTCAGTCTATCTTGTTTATCTTATTTCAGTGTTAATTAAATTATTAAATTAATTAATTGTTTGTTTTAAAGTGCGTATTGAAGAAGCCTAAGAGAAGAATAAAAAATGTGTTATCCCATGTACTTAATATAAACCCCGTTTTCGTCCTTAAAATATTCTTTCATGTTCCTCAGAAAGGCTCGTATTGTTTATCTTAGAAACATCCCAACGGCTCAATTAATTTAATGAGTATTTTTTGTTTGCTCAGACAGTATCAACAGCGTGTGCGAACGGCGGCAAAGGGTTTTCTAAAACTTGGACTGGAGCGAACAAATTCTGTTTGTATCCTCGGCTTTAACTCAGAAGAATGGTATATCGCCGATCTAGCAGCTATACACGCAGGGTAAGTATATATATATATATATATATATATATATATACTCGTATATTATAATTCCCCACCATCATCATCTTTCTGCCCTTCACCCGATTCTTTCGCTTATTATTCTGCACAATGCGTAACATTGCAAAGTGTTTTGGCTGTGCAAATGTAATCAATGCCGAGACGGGGCAAAATATTACACCATCGTCTAATTTACCGTCTCCTAAAATGTTTTTGTCCTGCATTTCCTTAAGTTTTGGATTACGGACGATATAACAGTTTTGGCGCATACTACGTTTTTATTCCGCGCAAGAAGTCATCGTCCGTCGCACGTTGCGGGAGCTTCAAGCATATTTCTATTTCAGACATCAGTCGCTACCGCTCCGTTGAGACGAGAGGACTGCGCTCAAGTGTTTAGGCGCGCCGAGTTATTATCAATTCAATTATAAGATTATTAGGATAGGAGGTAATAAATTAGATATAAAATAAGTAGCTATTTACTTTTGCTTTTTGTTATATTATTCTTCACAATAAAAATTCTGATCATTTTCCCCTAGTGTAATTATGATATCTTCCAAAAGTCTAGATAGACGTATGGACTACATAATGATCTTGCGAGTATTCTATAAAAATATTAAAATAATAATAATTACATTCTCCATAATTCTATGATCACTCATAAGTAACGCGGGCAGTATAGTTTGGTATAGTATATGCAAAATAAACACAAGCTTTTAGTTGGTATCTGTGTTTGTTCGATGAAATATATTTATGTCGATTTCGAAGCTATTTAAGTATGTCCATTAGGTATTTAAAACCTATTTTTAACCGAATTCCAAAAGAAGGAGGTTATCAATTCGACTATTATGTTTTTTTGGTGTTTGTTACGCGATTACTCCATTTATTTTGATTGTTCTTTTTTTATTTGAAAAATTATAATCCTGAGGTGGTCCCATTTAAATTTGGTGAAGATCTGATGCTGGTCTTCGGAGATATACAATGGAACTCTTCAAAAATAGACGTTAAATCGGTCGTGATGGCTACAATCGCTTGGATGTTTATATGCTTGTCAATATTTTTATAGGATATTACAAATAAAAATAAAAAAATAAAAAAAACTTTTTTGCAAAAAAAAAAACCGACATCAAAATAAACACAAATCGAACACAAAAAGAAAAACACTAAAAGTGAAAAATAACTTTAGCTTCAGAAGCCGGTGACAAAAACACCACATCAATCAAACAAAGGTCAAGCTTCGAAGTCGGTGGTTGTGGGCTTCGGTTTCCGCATTTAGACTCAGAGTGGCCTTTTATGCGTCGAGGATTGGTTGACTAGGTGAGCCAGCCAAGCTCCTTCCAGAAGCGCAGAAGCCTCCTGGGGCGTTCACAGGCTTCTAGGAGCGACTTTATATCAGGAATGATACTAGCCCGTTGTGTGGCCACTCCCTCGCATTCCAGGACTACGTGGACGGCCGTTTCTTCAGCTTCCAGACATCCCCTGCACAGGGGACTGTCCGTCGCATTGATTATGAATAGTTGTCGGTTCAGGGCTAGATGTCCTGTAATAGTTCCGACAACCATTCTGATTTCCGGTCTGCTAAGACTGATCAGTCTGCAGGTGAGTCGTGGTGTGACTTGATTCAGCACCAGTTTGGACTGTCTGCAGCCGGGTGAGTTTTTCCACCTCCGGTTGTGTGCTTCACAGGTCCGTTGCCTGACCCAGCATCGTATTTAGTTAAACGATATGGGCAGGAGTGGGGTTGGGCCAGAGGTTGGGGTTGCCGAGCCCCTCCTTGCCAACTCATCTGCGGCATCGTTCCCGTGTGAGTTACTGTGCCCTTTAATCCATTGGAGGAGTACCCCATTGAATATAGCGAGCTGTTCCAGCGCTTGGTGGCATTCGAAGACAATACCAGAGGTCATTGTGTTGCCCTCCAATGCCTTTAAGACGGCCATGCTGTCGGATATTATTCGGATGTTGTAGTCCTTGATACCCCTTGACATGGCCGTTGTGGCAGCGTAAGTTATTGCCACACATTCACATTGAAATATGGAACTGTGTTGGCCTAACGCTAGTGATATGTTTATATTTAGGTCTTGCGAGAAAACTCCAGCTCCAGTTCCTGACCTAGTCTTGGAACCGTCCGTGTAAATTCGGACTTCGTTAATGCCGGATTGATCTCGGTCATTTCCATGTATCTGGATGTAGTATCTTCTTGTGAAGATATGGTGTTTTGGGATTCTATCGCATGGAGCTGCTATCAGTGGTTCGTATTCCACCAATTGATCCCATAATTTGGAGTGCGATCCCTCACTTTTGTGCCATAGACCCAGGTGTTTGAGTCTAATGATCGCCATGGTGGCCTCCTGCTGTATGAATAGATCAGGATCAGGGGTGGCAGACCAAGAACCACCTCCAGTGCGGCAGTAGGCGTTGTGCGCATACAGCCAGTGACCGCGGAGCATGGGAGTCGCTGGAATTGCTTCAGTTTGTCCAGTTCTGGGTGTGGAAAGTGGGCATGTTTGTTCAAAGCAATCGATCAGTGTCTGTGTAAGGTTGACAACATGACTGTCAATGTCCTTAACAGTCCCCGTAGCGTATGTTAGGTTGATGCTTCGCAGTTTCTCCGCAGTAAGATGTTCATACCGTTTCCGGTCCATCGTGCGGGGATTCCGTCGGGGATCGGGTAGTTTAAGTTTCATTTCAAAGTTAAATTTGATCCAGCGATGGTCTGAGCACGATGCTTCGTTCGAAACATGCCAGTTCGATATGTGTTGCGATGCGTGCTCACTTGCTAATGTAAGATCAATTATAGTTTGGGCCCTGGATGTGACAAATGTCGGCTCCGAGCCCACGTTGATAATGTTAAGGTTAGTTGATAATAGGAACGATTCGAAGTCGGTGACAAAAGCACGAAATCTATCAAACAAAGGTTCCTTGTATGACGTGGCAAATCTTTAAAAAACCTGAAGAGAAAATATGTAGTGGGCCCTTAAACATATCACGTGACCAACCCGGTCTGAGCAGTACTGCTTCTGAAAGATTTATAATTGAAGGAGACCGAGACCAACCCGGTCCGAGCAGTACTGCTTCTGAAAGATTTATAATTGAAGGAGACCTTGATCTCGTTAGTTCAAATAATTTTGCAGCTGGACCCCATAGCCCTTTATCACAAGAAAATATTATACCAATTACGGAATATTGATAAGAAAGACGCGATTGAATTTGATTTTTATTATGATTTTTTATTGATAGTGTAGTTTTCTAAAGCTTATCTAAATAATTTTTGTCGTTAAAACTGCATTTTTGTCACTTAGACGTAAGCATAAATCGCCAATTTGACAACACTGCAAGGCTCTTGATCACACGTGTTACTTCCTTTTATCAAATTGTTGCAATGTGGTCAAGTAATTTAAGTAAGCACTGCACCGAGGGCATCGATTACTGCTTCTTTAAAATATGCTAGAATTTTTTGTAGACATCACTGTAGTTGTCTTGGTCTAGGCAATATACATCATACAGCAAATTCATTTTGCTATCGATCTATAAACATTAATAAAGTTTTTCATTAATAAGGAGAGGCGTATATCCAGCAGTGGACTATTAAAGGCTGTTGATGATGATGATGATGATGATGATGAATTAATAACCTTACTACTACTACTATCATATATAATTTTCTTTAAAATTAATTAAATATTTAAACTCTGTTGCTGGAAATTAAATTTATTGATAACAATCAAAAGTAATAATCAAAGCTTACTTTATATAACAAAATCACAAAGATATCCGAAGGCAATTAATCAATCTGACAAAAATCTACTGCTCGTTCAGGGACGTGTGTGTGGCGGTTTGCAATGGACTGGTTGATATCGAAGATGGCACATGGCCACTCCGCGCTAGTACATTTCAACTTCTCAAGGTCGCTTGTGTCACTTCGCCGTACAGTTCTGTCCGCTATCTGCCCCAACCTTAAGATAACGCTGCAGCGCTTTCTTTTCCTGTAACTTATCCAATGTATTTCGGAAAAAATTAAGTCACGCAAAGTCACATAAAATCAGCAATAAAAATCTAATAATATTATAAAAGTGAGTTAATTTGTTTGTTGCTCTTTCACCTCTTTTGACACATATTGTCAGTGGTACAGAAAAGGCATAGAGTATCTTTCTGCAAAAAGTAGGTAGTATTCTTTAGGTATACCTACTTAGTGAATCGATTGACAAACTGTAGGAAGAAAGCTAGTTGATTACATAAGCCTAACAGCTGCAACTATAACGTGAATTATATGATTGTCTACAACGATTTCTAAAAGCTTTACTTTGAGTGAAGTTTGGTTTCTTCAGCTTAGATTAGTTGTGAAATATTCGTAAACCTTATTCGTACATCCTGGATCATGCACGAATGAGGCGAATATTTATATATTCCAGGATTTTAAATACTTAAATTATAAGCGACTTTAAAAAAATCACGTAACAAACACCTTTTACACATGCGTATACGTACGATGTATTAATACAAATAACTTATAAAAATGTAGTAATTTTTTATTTTACCATTACTATTTTCTATTAGGAATTTGCATAGTAGGTATAAGAATTTGATTCATGAATCAATTTATTACTTTTTTATTAGTGGTTACGCAGCGGGTATTTACACAACCAACTCGGCGGAGGCCTGTTACCACTGCCTATTGTCATCTCGAGCCAACATCTGCGCCGTACAAGACAAGAAGCAACTCGACAAGATCCTGTCCGTGAAGGACAGGCTCCCACTATTGAAGGCTATCGTGCAATGGGAAGGAAAAGTTGATACTTCCATTCCTGGAGTCTACAGTGTAAGTCAATTTATAAGAATAGGTTGTTCAAAATAGGGATCAAATCTAATTCGATGTAAATGTGCACTACTTAGTTAGGAAAGGGGTTTATCTTCACTATATTTCGTCCAGGTCTGGACTTTGTATTTAGATAGAAGAGAAGTTTTGTGCAAGTTAGACAATTGACAATTAGACAATGGGTACAAGAAGTACTATTATGACTTCTTGTATCCACCCCAATTGTTTACCAGCCCACTTACTAATCTCAGAAACCGATAATGTCGTCACGACTTCAATTCACACGAATTGGAATTTTTAACTTACCTTGTAATAAATCAGTATTAATAAATCATTCTTCCTATTGTAAACTTAAGCTGGTTTTAAGATCTTATCCTATTGTTAGATATGATATAATATAAATACTTATATATACAAAAAAATGATAAGATTTATAACTAACATCATATCAAAGGTTTGCTGCGTAAACGAGCAAGTGCCTTCACTTGCTGGTTTTCGCGGCAAACCCTTTTAACAATTTAGTTTAGAAATATTATACCTAATTAAATTTGCTACAATTTCAGTAGTCCAAGTATCTAGTAGGCGGTATACTTGAGTAGTCACAAGTTAGGATTTTACCAGTAAACAAAGTTTAAAAGGTAGTAGTTATCAATATTCATGTGTCTGAACTCATTTTGGCCGAAAAAGTAGTTTAACAAGTATTCGGTGCAAAAACCGTTTTTTTTTTTTTTTCTAACTTTTTTAATTTTATATCAGCATCTGTACCTGAATGTTGTTTTTCGAAAACTTAAATTGGGTTTTTTTTTCAGTTTGACCAGGTAATGGAAATGGGTGCTAAAGAGCCGGACACTGAGCTCAACAATGTACTGAAAACCATTGCGGTGAATGAATGCTGTACTTTGGTATACACAGTAAGTTTGTTTTTATGCATTGAAGGAGATACGGTGAGGATAAATTGTATTATGTATTTACTTTTCGGTCATCCCACCTTGAAACTGTGACTTTTAAATGTTGAATTATAAATGATATTATCGATCATACTGTAGAACAGTTTCGGCCCTTTGGTTGTATCAATATGTAAATGTTTTTTGAAGATAATTATTTTTTACATAAAACATTATTTAGCCACACCCGTTTGCTTTACTAGTTTTGGATAAAATATGCTCCAATATATCAGAATCGATTTTCCGGATTACCTACTTATATGTTTTACTTATTATCACTGCACATTTGTAATGATTATGTCACCTTGGTTACTATCAACTAATTATTTACTTAGTTATCTACAAGCATTTCAAAATATTTGACTAATACGCTGTCACAATTTTATTGTTAATGAAAAAAGGAAAGCTAAAAACTGGTTACAAAGGGGTTATAAGTTTGGAAAGATATTTGTTAAAAATGAAATACGTAATTAATTAATTAATTTTTAGAAAACTGATGTTTTGTAGTCAGGTACGGTGGGGGCACCAAAAGCTGTGATGTTGTCACACGACAACTTGACGTGGGACGCGTTCTCTATCAGCGAACGGGTCGGGGATCTCAAGCCTACACAGGACAGACTCATCTCCTTCCTGCCGTTGAGTCACGTCGCTGCTCAGGTAAATACTACTTTAAAGGTATCAATCTTTGAGATGTAGAAAGAGGACGTCGAAACTAAGGTAGGTATATCTAATTTCTGCTAATGATGGATCAATGTTATTTTTGATAATCTATAAAAAAATGTTATTTCTAGAAAACTAAATGTTATAGTAGTTATAGTAAAAATTATTATTTTCGTCACATTTAAATTGAATATTTTTCTACATTGGTAAATGTGTTCTTTAGAAGCTTACATAACGACCCTTAACAACCATGAATACAGGCCCAAAGACGCTTAGATTCTCAACTCTGCTCTTGGGCTACAGCACCTCGCATATAGATTGAAGAATAATATTTCATTTCTCTATTTGGACACACAGTTTTAACAATCTTTTCCAAATATGATTTGACCCTATCTGCATCCTACATACTTCTAAAAATTAAGAGTGCTGTGTTAATCTATGACACAACTTGTGCTTATATAAGAACCTAGTGGAATTAGGCTTATCTTTTAGATTTACAGTAGAGATTTATTTAGAACTAGCTGCGTGCATGTCGGTTAACGCGATAAAAAGTACCCTATCTCCTTCCTCAGAAATAAAACTATTTCCATGTACCAAATTTCATCTAAACCGGTTAAGAGGTTATTAATTCCCCATACAAATTTCCATCCCCCTTTTCACTCCCTTAAAGGATGATTTCTGGGATTAAAATTATCCCATGTCCTTCCCCTCCCTCAGCTATCTATATACCAAATTTCGCCTCAATCGGTTCAGCAGACAGAGAGACAGACACAATTTCGCATTTATAATATTATTATGGATTTTAAGATTACCAAAAACTATGGAATCGAATAGCCGACAATTCATATGTACTTTGATGTGAGTGTATGTAAGGTTTATGGTAGAGATATATAAGTAAAATGTCGCTTGTATGTTTAAATAGTTTGAATAGATATCACAAATTTATAATATGTAACAGAAGCGAAATAAATGCTTGCTCGAACCGTCTCTTACTACTTGTAACGGGGGCTTTACTAAAGTTTCTAACCTGTAAAACTGCAGTAACATTCTTTGAATCTTAGGAAAAGTAAAAAAATATTGAGTTTTATTCCTTATTTAAAAAAAAAAAGATTTTTGAGATTTCCTACACAAAATTCCGCCCCTCTATTCAAAGGGATGACTTATGGGTCAAAAGTGCATAAACATTCTTTACTTCTAATAAAAAATCAAAAACATTCTTCAAATCTTAGGAAAAGTAAAACAATATTGAGTTTTCATTCCTAACTTAAGAAATTATTCTTTGTGAGATTCCCTATACAAACTTCTACCTCCTTATTCATCCTAAAGGGATGACTAATTGGTAAAAATGCATAAAAATTCTTTATTTCTAACGCAAAGTTAAATGATAAAACCTTATAGACCTTTTTTCTTGATTGGGTTTACGAATTTCCACCCCCTGTTTACACCGGCTGGCTGATTTAAATAAAATCTATTCTATATCCTTTCCCACAACTCAAACTGTCTCCATACCAAATTTCATCTAAATCGGTTTAGCGGTTATTGATTCCCCATACAAACTTCCACCCTCCTTTTCACCCCCTTAAAGGGTGATTTCTGGGATGAAAACTATCCTATATCCTTTCCCGGGACTCAAACTATCTCTATTTTAAATTCGGTGGGCATCGATCGGTGCAGCGGTTTAAGCGTGAAGAGGTAACAGACAGACAGACAGACACACTTTCACATTTTTAATATTAGTATAGACTAGCTGCGCGACAGACTTCGTTCTGTCAAAAGTTATTGACCTATCGTAATATATTTTTTTTTGATGATACGCAACCTGTTCTTAGAACTTTATTTTGGGTAGGCATAGATTAAATCCAATAATAAGTAAGGCATACATAAGATTAGTAGGTCTTTCAATAAGAATATTATATTAAAAATAAACACACCCGCTAAAAACGTCCGTCAAAAAATCAATTACGTTCGTTTCTGTATTTAAGGTTGTTGACATCTATACAACACTGGCTAATGCTGTATGTGTGTACTTCGCAAAACCGGACGCTCTCAAAGGAAGCCTCGTGGAGACGCTCAGGGAAGTCAAGCCAACCAGGTAATGTGACAAGAATATCTAATGTAGTTTTTTAACTGTTCATATTTTCGGCTAACTCTAAATGGACGGGGCAAATCGATGCAACAAGCGTGTGTCACGTCTAGAAGTAAAACTCGAAGTCATTGTCTTCGATAGCATGAACTGTTTGATATTGCTAAAACTAATGTTTAAACTGCACGATGTGTTCGCAGTTTTTTTGTTAATTTGGCTTTACAAATTTCAGTGCTTGGACTAAGTAGCCTATAATGCTGCAGATCACACCTGTTTGCTTTTTACTCGTTTCTTTATCTTTTCGTTTTGGTAAACTATGAAAACTCTATTAACATAGCACTCGAACTCGAAGATTGTAGTCATTTCGGTAACTGGGCTTCCAAATGCCGCCGTTGACGAACTTGCCCACTAGACGGCAACTGTGTGTTCTCTAAAATTAAAAACGTTTAGTGTTTTTACTAACTAACTTAATGACTAACAGATATAAAGTTTTCGAATTCCCACCATTTTAGAGTTCATATTTTTTTCTTTTTTAATATTTTAGGTATTATAACAATATAAATTTACTAAAAATAATGACTATTCTCATGATATAAAATGTTATAGTTACATGAAGATGCATTAGAAGTAGCCATAAGGGAACCAGTTAAAAAAAAATCCATGTGTATTTTGAGATAAGCGAGTTATTTTGTATTGTGTTGAGATTTGTTTCCTGATATGAAATAATAATATAATTAGGTTTAATTTAAATATAATTCTATGCTTGAGTGATATAATATAATGGGTCAAAAGTTTACAAAATTTATACAATATTGTGGGAATCATAGAATTGGAATGAATAACATGACGATACGAGTACAATTGGTCTGAGATTATATTTTTAAATAATATTATTATGCTGAACATGAAGTTATTGTTGATGTGCAGGTGTGCAGAGCCAATTTAAACCAGTTAAATATCGTAGATCCAGTTAGTAAAGGTTATCAGTTTTCTTATTCCTATTCTGTATATTATCAGGTTCTTAGCAGTACCTCGTGTTTGGGAGAAGATGTACGAGAAGATTATGGCTGTGGGCGCCTCCAGCGGTTACATCAAGAAACAGATCGCCATGTGGGCCAAAGATAAGGGGCTCAAATACCATGTGGCTAGGATTAATGGGTAAGAATATAAATATCACAATATCTATGTAAAAAATTGGTTCGACCTCATTGGTTTTGAGGCAGTTGTCGCCTTTGCGTACTCCTGAGATCCTAGTTTCAATTCGAGGTTTAAGCAAAGAGTAATTTTGGGATCTCTTTCGGATAGTGTATGTTAGACTTTTAAATCATATTCATATGATGAAATGATTTGTTTTTATCACAGCGATGTCACCTGTGATTGTGAGTTAGTCATAGACAAAGATAAATGACTTTAAAATCAATCAAAATTCCTTTTATCAAAGATTATGAGATTTTTTTCGCGAGTCTAGCGCTAGCGTAATCATAATAATAAGTTGCAGAGGTTTTGTAATTTAGTCACACTTGTAATTTGTGATTTATATCAATTGATTGTAATCTTATTCCATCCCTGACAGACAGCAATAGGCTCATTTTCTGTTACGAGAATAAAAAATTATGTATACCTACAGCTCTACCTAAAAATATACAAGCGACAGTATATAAAAAAACTCCGTTCAAGGAAGTTGTTTCAGAAACGATGAGGAAGCAATGCCGAAAACGATTTATAACTTTTATATTTAACGTTATCTAATTCATATATGTTAAAACGTCCTTGATGCCAAATTAGAGGTTAATGTTCAGATGCATAATGTATTTATGTAATGTATTGGTCGAGTTTGACCGATTTTAAGGGTTCCGTTCTTTAAAAAAAAAAAAAACTTTATTGGATCCCTATGTTGTCCGTCGAGTCTAGACCCCTGTTCTCGAGAACACATGGATATATAGACTTCAAATTAACATAATTCCTTGAAACAGGATAAAATTAAAAGACACCGGCCTACAACCCTTACATTTAACCATTTCAATCACCTAGAAACGCGAAATTTAGCAAGAAGCAAGGTCTCACAGCACTAAAGTAACGGAAAAAGTCTGAAAGTTTTTAATAAATTATTATATCATCCATAATGACATTTTGCTGTTGCAAAACTAACTCTTACGTTTATTCGGGGATAGGGATTTTGAATTACCTTCAAGAAGGAGTAGGTTCTCTTTACGAAACAATTTTTTACAATCAAGGAACCCTCAGTGCGCGAGTCGGACTCGTACTTGCCATTTTTTACTTAGTACGAGTTTTAAGAGTAACTTGTATCCCTTATAAAACTCTGGTGATCTTGGTAAGTATGGGCTTAATATAACTCGCCTTTAATTTGTGGAACTCAGCCGAAAAGAAAGTACCTCCCTTATTGTCCACCGAAATTTATCAAGATTCATCCTTGGTTAACAGGCACTGAAAAGTTTGACGAACCGAGGATAAATTGTGGGGTTTCTATCAGTTTTTTTTTAAAGGAGTTTCGCCTAATATTATTGGTTATATCATTTAACAGATACAAACGAAAAAAGTTTAACCTGTCTTTTCAAATACAAACTTACCGTTATATTTTTAGATCAGATTAGATTAAATAGTGAATAACTTCACAAATATTTTTTACAAAACTAATCAATTATATAAATTTTTTTTGTATTAAAGTTTAAGTGTTAAACAATTTTCGTTGCTTGTACCATGCCGTACTGCTTTTGTGTTCGTGTATGTGTGTGTAGTAGCATGTTGCGATGACTCAATTAAGCAAAACCAGTAATCATACAAATATGTCTTATTTGAGAATTGCACCTATTGAGGGCATATTATTTAGCCAAATGAAGAACGGTAAACGGATACTTGAGAAGTTGGTGACCCAAAGATTTTATTAAATGGAATTCAAATATTTACTTCCGTCATTACAAAATGTTGCAACGTGATAATGTTAGACTGAAACTGGGGCTATAATAATATAAGTTTTCTCGCTCAGCTCCCTATCAAGCAGTATGAACAGTCTGCCGCTAGACTTCACCACTGGCGAAATGGTCAAGTTTTGGTATGTAAGGTTCAAAGTGGCCTTGTAATGTGCATGCCTCCTCCATGAGCACCCGTAATTTGATAAGCATGTGTGTATGCTAGAAGAATCTTGACGTTTAGTATACCGCATAATATAAATATATGTTACTGTGAATGTTCGGAAGCAATGTACCTACTCGATATGTTAAGATGAACTGGTGTATGTTAACATCCACTAAACGAGCTGGTGAATAACCTTACAAATTTATTATTTTTATTCATTAGAGAATGTTTGTCACACCGTAACAACTTGGTGTATCTTCATTACGAGCGGCTATATTGGTTTAGAAAACATAAATATACCCATAAGATATTTTTGTGGAAATCGAAGAAATCGCTGAATCTGAGATTCAAGGAATCGCCTTTGTCAAAATAGGGTACGCCGCAATGATTCATCAGGATTTCATCCCAATCCAACATACTTACATGTTATAGGTATTTGGATTAAATCCTCACATGATTTCGGACTTTACTTTCGCAGTTGGCGATTAAGATATATGTACAGTGGTTCATCGTAACATTCACAAATATCGGATATTTACAGTAACAGATACATAGATCCAGTTTATATTGCTTATAATTTATCATGCACTACCTTTGGCTTACAGAAGTACCTACCTATTTATTTACCATTGGGCAAACGGATATAATTTAAGAAAATTATTAAAAACTAATCTTATTGTTTTACATAAGTATATATGACAAAAGGTTCGTCTATTTTACCTATTTCCTTAAGATTCCTGTCTTCATATAGTCACGAACCATCATCAGCGTTAAATGAATACAATATACGATAGTATAATTATATGTACTTACACATTTATATCTATGTAATATAAGTACTCGTAGATAACATTATATTGGAAAAATTATCTCTTCGCAATAATTCCATGTAGTTGGTGTCATGTGGTAACTAAATGACTACTAAACAAAGAGTGCGTTAGCATGTTGTTTCCAGTTCAAGGATATAGTACCTTATGGAAAGAGGCTTAAGGGATAAAAGTAAAGTACAAAGTACAGTACTATTCCTTATGACTATATATAAAATGTATCATGCACAATACTCAATCGTTTATTTGCACTCCACAATGTGTACTTAGGTGGTGGTATTTGTGTAATTAGTTCATCATGGACCTTGTCGGGCACAGCAAAATACATTTAAAATAGGTCAACAAATTAAATAAAAATAATTGCACCCAAATTAGAATAAGAAGAGATCATAGATTAGATCATACCTATTTATAATGAAAATAAAGAATCGAAAAAGCTAGGTAGTTATATCGGTATAAATACCATAGCCTATTTATAACTCCACTACTGGTTCAAGACTAGACGCTATTAAAAACTTATAACATTGCTAAGGCGCAGTCTCGTGTTTGATAATACGTAACTGCCATCAATTACTAGTTAGTTTACGTCTATTAAATGGCAAAAAACCTTGGCAAAGCGTAAACTTATCTTTCAAAAGCATTATCGTTTGTAATTTTTAGCAAACGTTCTGGAGAATAGATAGAACATCGTGTGCTAACAATAGAATGCCTATATTCTATCCGAAAATACCTTTAACTTCGTTGTCTTAATAAAAAAATGGCCTTACTTACCTAGTTTTCAAAATCTTAGGTTTTTATTGTACCTACTCGTTTTGTTTAGGTAGTTTTATTTCTTTTGTACAATTCACGTATTATGCTGAATCATTTAACTATCATATAAATAGGTATGCTGGTATATTATTTCAGTTTAATGGCTGTTTACAAACCGATCTGTACATACCTTTATGAACAATTATGTAGTTAACTTATTAACCGTCATTAGGTCTAAGGTAGATGTATCCAATATTTTTTCTGTGTTGTCACACAATACACCCAAAAATAATACAAGTACATTAAGTATATGTTTATACATTTATATAACTAAATCGTAGTTACCTCTACATAAGTCATCATACTTTCTAGAATTTAGGTTAGGTAGGTATGTGTGTTCCGTCATGGCAATATTTTTTTGGCAATGAATCATAAGTAGGTATTGTTTTTGTAGATATGAGTAATATGTCAATAATCTGTCTATAAGATAACAGACTATTTTATGATTCCTGATAATGACGCTTTAGTTTGTCTTTCGTCCTACTCCGTAGATACCTACCTATTCTATACCTCAAAACTCGTTACACAATAGTTTTAAGTACTATCATCATCATCAAAGTACTTCATATTACTAACAGACAAAGCTACCTAGACACCCGTAGCTCGCATGAAACTTTTAATTGTTTGTAATGCTCACATAAATGTCGAGCAATTTTAAACCAACCCCATTCTCATGTTGTTAATTTTTAGTACTACTAACATTACTAAACGATAGCTTTACATAATATAAACCATAGTTTTTATTTTTTAGGATCGATGGCTCATCATTTGGATACAAAATGGCTAAGTACCTAGTATTTAACAAGGTACACGAGACTCTAGGCCTCGACCAGTGCACCACATTTGTGACGGCTGCCGCACCTCTCTCGGCAGATATCAAGAAGTTCTTCCTATCCCTCGACATACCCATTGTGGATGCATTCGGCATGAGTGAAGCTTCTGGAGCACATTCCCTTAGCATATATCCCAAGTAAGAGTCGTATTAATAACTAAAATATATTTTATGGTATCCTCTAAATACTATCAGCTTGTACGTATTTAAATGTATGTGTCTACTTAAACCATTACATTACAACAGAACTAGCCAAAGAAAGAACCTAAGTACTTAATTAACTGTACTGAAGACGGTATTTTGTTTTTATTGTATTAACATACAGCTTACTTAAACACACTTTTGTTAGAAAACTTAAGTACATTATTATATCAGATCCTAGTATTGCAGCCGTCAATTATCGATGATAACGATTATCATATGTGTAAACGATATTTTTATAAAAAAATCTTAACTAAACTACATCCGAGAAATAATAACATCGAATTGCCCTTTGACTTACAAACTGCCTGTAAGACCCCCTTGTTCCGTTTCTGCGTTTACGATAAACACTAGAAATTAAGTCTTACTTTAGAAAAGGTACTAACATTTATATATTAAGTATGTCAATCACTTTTGTAAATTAAACTTTTCAAAACGAAAACCTTTAATTACAGATTATCATTGGATTCTGCGGGAGAACTCCTACAAGGTACAGAGACAAAGTTTGGTGGTTCTATAAGCTCGAATGGTCCTGGAGAGATTATGATGCGTGGTCGACATGTATTCATGGGCTACCTCAATGATTCTGTTAAAACCAAGGACGCCATTAACGACGATGGCTGGCTGTTATCAGGAGATATCGGCAGGGTGGACAGTAATAACCTCCTTTATATAACTGGAAGAATAAAGGTACATATCCATTTTCATATCTAAATGTATCGTTACTTTTATCTCAAATTGTAATCAGTCGTAAAATAAAGGCCTGCAATATCGGTTTAGAAATTAATTTACTTCTAGCTTAGGTATTTAGATCTAGCTTTTTTAATACTTAGAACCAAATTCCTAGACAGTCCCTTCAGCATTAATATAGAAGAACAACAAAGAACCCATTTTGCTTCTTTTATACCCGACTGCTGACTGATTGGACGTTAGAATAATAATATTTCGGACATCTAACACACCTCGCAGTCCAGTTTCAAATGAATTAGGGCTTGTACTATGTAAAGTAAATTAACTGATACAATACTTATTTACTTTTTTTTTAATACAAACTTTTTTTGAAAACACCAAAACTCCAAACCAAATAATTGTAGATCATACAAACATTTGGTCCGACCCGGGAATCGAACCCGAGACCTTAGCACAGCCGACTGCTATATGCTACCACTGCACCACCACGGCAATCAGTTATGTTTTTTGAGTGTCTGTGTATGTATATTGTAGGTCCCAATTACATATATGTTGTCAAAGTACCACTAACATAAAGGCAAGAATGTCACAAGTAAAATAATTGTATAATAATTTTTAAACAAGCCGAAATGACTTCGATCTCATAAATTGTTTGTTTATTGTGAAATTATTAATTCACTTGTTTTAAGGTAGACAATGATGTATGTTGATTTTTAAACAAGACGAGTGAAGAATAATTATAATAGTTAATTTTTATACAAAACTCAAATCTACAAATCGCTTTGCATATTGTTTTAATGTCAAATAGGCCATTATTAATTTTTCATAAATAACTTTTTATCATGTCGTTGTGTTTTAGGAACTGCTAATTACTGCTGGTGGAGAGAACATAGCGCCAGTGCTAATTGAGCAGACGATCCAGTCAGAGTTACTTCATATTGGATACGCCGTGCTTATTGGTGACAAGCGCAAATTCCTCGCCGTGCTAATTACACTTAAGGTAAACATTGAAACAGATACCTGTATAACTGTGTGTGTGTAAATAAAGATTGTTGATTATTAACGTAAAGGCAGTAAAAGCAAATAATTTACATAGATAAATTCGAAAAAGGTTTAGGCCTATCTACGCTGCCGGCCCATATTTGATAGTTAGATATTAAATTTAATAAAATATATTGTATTAAAATACCTTTTCTCTTCTTTAGGATTATTCCTTGAAAAATTCCATTGACAGATTAATAAATAATGCGTCTTAAACGTTTTTTTTTAATCAATAAATATGCTTGAACCTTTTATCCCGATAATGGCAATACTTCCTTACCTTGACGACATTAATTACCGATTTCAAACGATTTTTTTTCCTTTCTTTCACAATCGTTTCGTAATAAAAATTAAGTGTGCGTATGGATTGAGGAGCCATTTCAGATTTTAAACGGAAACTACCCTCTTATTTAGGTGAGCAAATAATTTTATAAGACAAATTCTGAAATTTGTAGTAAGATATATCATTTAGTTTGTGTATGTTTAGTGCCTACTAAAAACCTGAATCCAGTACTGTTGATATTCAAGAAAACACAATACTTTTAATGTGGCTCTTCAATCTATATTAAGAGCGTGAATGGTCATGAAATTAATAGGTCAAATTCATACTCCACTCCATAAATATTTAGTAGCAAGTGTGTTTGAATTTGTAGCATTAGGAGAAAGTAGTAAAACTGAGTGGATTTAGTAAATAAATACATTTTATTTGGCTCCTCAATCCTAACGTTCTGCATAAAATATAATCGACTGTGTAATCGACCTAAGATCACAACAGAAACAAAAACCAGAGACACAAAAATTTAGTATAAATGGTCTACTAAATAAATATGTACAGATCAACGTTGTGTATATATTGGGTATTTGAAAAATAAATTACTTTTTGATATTCCTTTTGAATTCGCTAAATAGTATAGGGTGACCATGTTAAAATGTGAAATCACAAGGACTACTTTTTAAAATTTAATTTTCAACAAGTAACGGAAAAAGGAATGTAATGAATAATAATTAAATATAAATGTAATAATTCACAACATCTGCAATAACTATTTGTCAGTGTTGAGATACTGACTCTTGTGTCGTGGTGTATAGTAATGCGAGCTATAAAATATTATTGAAGTAACCACATTATTTTCCATTACCTCCAAATACCTTTTATATGTTATTCATGGATACCCAAAAAAAAATTGTTAGGAAATTAAAGAATAGCTAATAACTTCGTAGTAAATGTACTTTTTATGACAGGATTATACGTAAATTTAGTATGAAATTATACATAATATAGATGTTTTATGTTCCAAATTTCGTCACAAGTATTTTTTTATTTATAAGTTCACAATTTTAAACAGGCTAAAGTGGATCCAGAGACGGCGGATGCTTTAGACGAATTGGAAAGTGAGGCAAGAAAGTGGGTCGCAAGTCTTGGCAGCACGGCTACGAAAATCAGCGAGATAGTCAACAAAAAAGACCCAGCGGTGAGTCCCTCTAACTCTTGTAGTCTTTAATTAGGCAATTGCAATCAATATTACCGACCTTTTTAGATGTACGGTTTAACCTAAGAGTTACATCAACCCATTACATTATCGACCTAATTTCTTATAGTGTGTAATAAATCATATTATAACAAAAAATAATGACCGACTATGATACAAGTTTTGCTCATAAAACCTTGCTAGGCAGGCCTTTCTACAATGTAAAGATACAAAAATTCCAGTCGTGGCATAAAATATATTAAGGCTCCGTCATATCTGTGTTTATCACTCAAGTACTTACTTACTTATCACATCCTAGATGTTTATCTTTTAATTACTTCTATCCTACATGCAATGACGTAATAAATTATTTCAGGTTTACAAAGCCATCGAAGAAGGTATCGGACGCGCCAACAAGCATGCCATCTCAAACGCACAGAAGGTCCAAAAATTCGCAATTTTGCCATCTGACTTTTCAGTAAATTCTGGAGAATTAGGTCAGTACAAATAATAAGTTAATAAATCATTATTTTTATTTTATAGTAAGTCTGAGATCCAGTGCAGAAAGTTAATCCGATAAAAAAACCAACAGCGCAAACATTATAAAAAAAACAAGTTCGCAAAAAAATAAGTATATTTCTTTTTCACTCGTTCTAATCTAATCGAACGGTGAGATGCAACACAACTAATTGCTAATCTGCATTGGGTATGACGCATATTACCTAGCAAAAGTCAGTTCATAATAAAAATACGCATTAGTAGTAATGACTAATTACTTTTATTTTGCGACATTTACAGCCACTAATGTAGTCTATATAATTTAATAGAAAAAATCTGTCTTCACTAAATCGCAAACGAGGGCGAGATAGCTTCATTTTAAAATCTAAATCATGATTTCATCATGCAACTTATATGACAATAATTTTATAAGGCTGGTGAATCTGATGATGCTTCACTTATTAGAGATCAGATGGCCCCTTATCCTTACATTTTGTATAATATATAACAGCACAGTTTTGCGTGTAGGAGTCCTGGCTACTGAAGGAGTTGAGTTATTTATATTTTTTCTGTGCACTATTTACATGTAAAATTTTATTTATTTACAGGTCCAACGTTGAAAATCAAGAGGAACGTTGTCTACGAGAAGTACAAAGATATCATAGAAGACTTTTATAAGGAATAATACTTAAGCTTAGTGTTTAGGGCGAGGGAAAACGTAAATAAATTGTTATTATATTTTTATTGCTCAACTAGGTAGGGGCTAGTGCAACGGAATCATTGTGATTAATAGTAACTTACGGAAAGTCGTACATAGGTTATATTTTTGTTACAAAAAATATATTTTACAAAATCATTTGTGGTTTCAATAATAAAGCGTTTTATATACCTCATTCATTTATTATCTAAATTATACAATAAAATTGGAATGAAAAAAATAAGTTAACAATAATAAGTCTGGTATCAAACATTATCATAAATTATCATTTATTTGGAATTGATAAGCCACAATAATACTAAGACTCTTTTCGTCCACATTTGTCGGCATCTACGATAATATCAAATATTACATTTAGAGATTGTCTTGAAGATAGAAGATTATAAGGGTGGTTTTCAGATGTCACACGTAGACAGGTAGATAGATTTATGCCTAACCACTAAAGTTCAAACCCCTAGACACCAAAATATATCAAGGTAAGAAAAAAGTTATAAAATATTCAGTTTGCACACGAGAATGCGGAAAATAAAAATGTTAGTTCAATAAAACAAATAAAACAGTTATTGAAAACCCAGCTTAATCCGGCAAATGTCGACGATTAAATAATACATATAATGTATCTAACACTACATAATCTTTTGATTAATAATTCCTTTAAATTTTAATATAATAAGTAACTTTAAATTCCATTAGCATTGTCATAAAATTAAGTACGGTAAATGTTAATGCATATTTAATTCTATATTTAAAATCACAGTGTTTTCTTATTTTACATTTATTTTGATGTTCAAAATTTTAGATATTTTTTACACAAATATTTTGTATGAAAGGTTAAAACATGATAATATATCAGTTTCTTAAATGATCAACATTAATAATAAGTACATATATTTTTATAACATGTGTATTTTATATATAAAATTCAAATTCAGTGATTTTATATGTATTTTTTACTGCAAGGAACAAATACACAATTAAAAGGGATTTCAAAATATATCTTAGATAGCATATTCCTAAAAAGAGAAGTTTACTTTACGTAAATATAAATACAGATTCTTCTTAAAATATACTGATTGCTTGGAGTTTACCGTTCTGTGAAAATGTCACTTAAAAAATACTTTGCATCTAGTTTATGGGTAGTTTGAAGTGCCTCTTTGATTTAGGTATATTTTAAACTTATATTTAGTAGTGTTTACTGTTTATACTAAATATAAAATTAAGTCAAACATAATCTTTAGGTAGGTGTAGGGTAGTAAATGAAATAATACTAACAATAAGTCCAATCGATTAAAATATTTAGAGTTAAGTTTCAAATGGAAAAAATATAAACTTCCGCAAGTTATATAGCCAATTAATCAATAGTTAATAATATTTATATAAGTATATATGTAATTATTGTCCAATGTATTAATAAAATTATATCAGTTATTTTACTGATATATTACAAATTAAAGCGAAGAGCTGACAGGTAATTAACGATCGTAATTCAAAGGTGCGGAATTCGTATTTTTTTTTTTTTTTTTTTTTTATTTATAATACGAGCTCTATGCTCGTCATAATGTAATACTTAAAAGGCAAACGATGATCGAGATCGATGCGATTTTAAATACATCAATCGGGGAAACAGTAACGATAAGTAAGAATCGACCGAGGGTAACGGTTATCCAAGTTAAAGATACCTAGAAGCGGTGTGCCGGTCGGTGTAGAGGCTCGGCGGCTCAGGGCAGCGCGGGCGGCGCGGTGGCGGGCAGCGGCGGCGGCGCGTCGGCGAGCGGCAGCGGCTTGGCCACGCCGATGCGCACCACGCCCCGCGCCGCGCCCTTCAGCGCCGCCACGGCCTGCTCCAGGCTCGCGTCCTCCAGGTTCTGCGCACACGCACACCCGCACATTGTACTCCTCCACTTCTACTACACTATGTTACGCATAGAGATATAAGCGTAGAGAGAACACGGGGTACAGCTGCCTCTGAGTGGAAGCGACACAACGAGAGACATGGATGCCCGATAGTTCCCTCTGTCTCTGTTTAGCTCTCGGTCTAGCTAAGCTGCGATCGGCTACTAATTAACCCCTCATATTCAACAGACTCGCAGAATCTCAGACTCGAATCGCAGAACTCGACTAGAAAGAGATATATGCATCTATCTACTATCCATCTCTCTCGTTGCCTTTATTGCAAGATTGAGGCTCTTGTTCACTCTATGATTATATTCTATGATGTTAAGGCTAATTTTCACTTTGTTTAGTGAGAGTGCAGGTAATTAGCGTTTACTGATAAATTAAGAAGAGGAATGCAAATAGTGTCCGTTGTTTAGTTTCTGCGCTTAGTTAAAATACGAGGAACCCTGCAAATACTAACTAAGTAATAAAACAGGCATGTCTAAACGTGTTTAGAGTGAGCACGCCGCGGGTGAAGAAGAAGATGCACGCGGGACGTGATACTCGCAGGAAAAAAAAACACGCCATTCAATAATAATTCTACTATCAAAGTGGGAATTAGCCTGAACTAATTGTTCACTTCACAAACACGCTATGATCTAGCGATTAAAAAACCTGAGCCACTAAGCTCGAGGTCGTCAAACAATGGTGGATAAACACTATGTCTAAGTCGTTCCGTGGCTGGATGTAATTTATCTATAGTAACTTTGTATTTAGAAATGTTTAACTATGTTGATTAGAAATCTCGCTACCGTAGTACAGACCGCTAGTTGGACATCAAACGACCATGGGCGTGATGTCACCATTTATGGCATATTATTATTTTATCAATATGTCACTGAACCTTTACAATACTAAAACGTTAACCTCGCACATTAACTGTGGATAAAATCGCTCAGTGAAGACATTTTTAACTTCCATTATTTCACTTTAACACGTAAGAGATAATTAATGTAACACATGGTTCACCATGCCTTCACTACTCTATGCCTTTTACCTCAATCTTTCTTTATCTGTCTATTTGTAATGTTAAAATAATAGATTTCTTATATATTAATAATAAATATTAATTTATATATGCTTAAATAGCAGTTTAAATATTTTTTGTCTGTCTGTCTGTTTGTACCCCAAGGTAATCTTCAAAACGGCTGGACCGATTTTGATAATATATTACCACCAGGTAGCTCTCTATGTAAGGAGTAACTAAGTCAATTTTTCCTCTCAGAAAAACCCTATTAAATTCTGCCCAGGGAAACGAACCCGAGGCGTCATGGACTGCAGTCGCGTACGTACTACACCACTAAGGCAGCGCTTTTCAAATTCCACGCGAACGAAGTCGCTGGTAGCAGCTAGTCTTGTATAAATTGACTGACCTGATCATTGACAAACAACAGTCGGTCGCCGGGTATGAGTCGTCCGTCCTGTTGCGCAACTCCGCCGGGCACCAGCGACCGGATCACCACTAACGTGTGGGACGGACGTAGCGGGTCTTGGTAGTCTAGAATTGAGAACCCCAAACCTCGCTCGCCTTTTACTAATTCTGTAAAAGAGTTATTAAGACAACAATGATTATTAGAATTTATCCAGTTTTAATATTCCAGTTTACCGTGGGAGAGCCATGCTTCGGCACGAATGGGCGGGCTCGAAAGGAGTGATACCACGGCCTCACAGAAAGCTGGTGTTAAGCAATTCTTTCGTTGCCTTTCACTGAGTGAGTGAGGTTACCGGAGCCCGAATCTCGATGACTCGAACGGGAGGGACTCCAAGGGCAGCAACGCAATTGTGACTTTTGAGTTGCAAGGGTCCATGGGCGGCGGTAGTTGCTTACCATCAGGTGACTTGTCTGCTCGTTTGCCCCTTTATACCATAAAAAAAATCTAAAGTGGTTCTAAACGATCAAGAGTTTGTGTATTTAATTCGTTTCCTCCTTTAGCCACAAGAGGAAACAAATAAGATTTTTTTTAAGGTTAGATGAAAATCTAGATAGGTTACGCAGTTACTCATAATAGATCATCATCTTTCATTTCCCATAGTTCGACTTGTTCCGTTAGCATACATTTTCAAAATGTTTATTTACAAAATTATAACTAAACCTTACCTATAATTTGTGGTTCTGAAGACCACATAGCAAGGCCAGTGAGCGGTTCAAGACTACGCGAACGTACTTTGCCTCCTGCTGATAGAGAACCACCCTCTTCAGCGCCTGCGCCTGCCAAACTCCCGTCAGATTTAGCCTGAAATTAATCAATCATAATGTGGCGACTTCCACATACAGTGAAACAAAAACATACTTCAGTGCCATCTAACGAAGTCACACAGAACTGCGGAGTAATAGCTAATCCTGTATCGCAATATAAAAAGTTCTCATCTAATATACAACTTTCCGACAGGAACCCTTAGTGTTGGAGGGACGTGACACCCGTTCCTCCTCAGTCCTAAAAATAGCATCACGCCCGCTCGGACGACGATACGGCATTCTATTTTGTAGTAAGATAATATTAACCAAAAAGTTTCAAGTTATTACAAACATCTGTGGTTATGCAGCAGTAAACGTGTAGTGTTGCATGAGTTAGCAACTGTTAATTGCTAACTCATTCAACTCGAACATGGTTAACAATTAGACAGGTGAATTAATAGCCAGTAATTGATTTTATCCGAAAACTAGCATCTACCTTTTTAGTGTGTCATCAATAAAGTGGTGTCATGATGCTGCTGATTTCAAATTATTAAAGGAAAGAGTCAAACAAAAGGTGGATTATAATTATCTAATTAAGTAGTAAGTATATAATTAAGTAGTAGTAGTTAGCCTTGATGGTGAATTATTATTAATCATTAAAATGTCGTAAAGAATTAAAGACTTCATTATAAGTTTCAGGATGATTACCTTGACTAGAGTGGCCGAAGGAGGCGCCAAGTCCAACGGAGGTGCAGGTCTTGGTCTCGCGCATACCATGCATACTTCACTTGAAAGCTCCTTCAGGATAGACACCACCTCTAAGTGGTTCATGCCCAGCAAACGGTGACCGTTGACCTCTAAAAATTACAATACAATGATAATCCATATTATCTAAAATTTGCTTGTTTTGATTAGGAGTTCATCTTATGATAATAACTTAAGTGTAGAAAAGGTGCTTCTAATTTATTTTTAACGAAACTGATCGCTTGTTATTGTGAAACTAGTTTTTTTTAAACTAGGGGTAATCCGCAACTTAGTATGCAAAATGGTAACGTAAATGATCTTTTAGAGTACGTGTTTTTTAATTATAATGGCCTTCGTAATATGACAGTAGTAAGTAGCAGGTCTTGCTTGACTACTCCCCCTCTACGTGCACGTAGAGGGGGCCCACGGGCCCCTCGGGCAGCACGGAGCGCACGTAGTGGTGCGGGCGCACCTCGCGCCCCCCCTCCACGTCCACCGTGCCCTGTAAGTAACCACGTACCCAGCAGCTCGTCCCCAGGGCGGTGCACGCCGGCGCGGCCCACGGGCCCCTCGGGCAGCACGGAGCGCACGTAGTGGTGCGGGCGCACCTCGCGCCCTCCCTCCACGTCCACCGTGCCCTGTAAGTAACCACGTACCCAGCAGCTCGTCCCCAGGGCGGTGCACGCCGGCGCGGCCCACGGGCCCCTCGGGCAGCACGGAGCGCACGTAGTGGTGCGGGCGCACCTCGCGCCCTCCCTCCACGTCCACCGTGCCCTGTAAGTAACCACGTACCCAGCAGCTCGTCCCCAGGGCGGTGCACGCCGGCGCGGCCCACGGGCCCCTCGGGCAGCACGGAGCGCACGTAGTGGTGCGGGCGCACCTCGCGCCCTCCCTCCACGTCCACCGTGCCCTGTAAGTAACCACGTACCCAGCAGCTCGTCCCCAGGGCGGTGCACGCCGGCGCGGCCCACGGGCCCCTCGGGCAGCACGGAGCGCACGTAGTGGTGCGGGCGCACCTCGCGCCCCCCCTCCACGTCCACCGTGCCCTGTAAGTAACCACGTACCCAGCAGCTCGTCCCCAGGGCGGTGCACGCCGGCGCGGCCCACGGGCCCCTCGGGCAGCACGGAGCGCACGTAGTGGTGCGGGCGCACCTCGCGCCCTCCCTCCACGTCCACCGTGCCCTGTAAGTAACCACGTACCCAGCAGCTCGTCCCCAGGGCGGTGCACGCCGGCGCGGCCCACGGGCCCCTCGGGCAGCACGGAGCGCACGTAGTGGTGCGGGCGCACCTCGCGCCCCCCCCTCCACGTCCACCGTGCCCTCCAGCGAGATGCCCAAGCCGCCGCCACCGCGGACCACCACACCCACTACTATTTCTACTTCGTCGCCTGACAAACAACATTACTGTATTATTAGACTATCCTGTAAATTAAAAGTAACATCGGTTCAATATGTGGAAATTTGTATGAAATTGTGGTAGATTTCAAAATATGTTCTTTCTACCGGTATTAATGGACGGGATTTTAGATGAATACAGCAATATCTATATCTATACTAATATTATAAAGCTGAAGAGTTTTTTTGTTTGTTTGTTTGTTTGTTTGTTTGAACGCGCTAATCTCAGGAACTACTGGTCCGATTTGAAAAATTCTTTCAGTGTTAGATAGCCCATTTATCGAGGAAGGCTATAGGCTATATATCATCACGCTAAGACCAATAGGAGCGGAGCACCAATGAAGAATGTTTCAAAAACGGAGAAAATTTATTACTATTAAGAGACGCAGACGAAGTTGCGCGGGTCAGCTAGTTAATATTATAAAGCTGAACAGTTTGTTTGTTTGAACGCGCTAATCTCAGGAACTACTGGTCCGATTTGAAAAATTCTTTCAGTATTAGATAGCCCATTTTTCGAGGAAGGCTATAGGCTAGATATCATCACGCTAAGACCAATAGGAGCGGAGCACCAATGAAGAATGTTTCAAAAACGGAGAAAATTTATTACTATTGAGAGACGCAGACGAAGTTGCGCGGGTCAGCTAGTGCTCAATATATACACGGTAACATTTACCTAGTATGGCCTGCCACTTCCTCTTAATGACATCTTTCTGTTCCTGTGTGCGCGGCATCTCAAATGGTGGATGTGATCGTGTGATGGTTGGCGGTGGAGGTGATGTACTTACTACTTCTTCTACTGCGCTTTCAACGCTAACACTGGAAGTTATCGATTAATTGTAATAACTATCTATAAAGTTGACTTCTTTAAATGTTACAAAACAAACAATATCAAATCAATAATCAATTTCAAATTTTTTGTTTTAAATTTGCCAATGTGCTATTACTAACGAGTTCTGTAGATGCGTCATCTGGATGTCGTGTTCGGGAGATGTTACGGAGTCGGGTCGATGCATGTGTAGGAAGGGGTTGTGTGGAGGTACGGTCGATGCTGCAGACTCGCCTGCCGCTATCGCTTGCTGAAGCTGCTCGAACTTTGGACCACGGAGATATCTGTAGCAAAAGCAGTTTGAATTTCGTTACACTCACTAACACAATTGTGGGTAAATTTAAAAAACTCAATATTGTATTAAATGTGTTTCATAATCCAATGAAACCTAATGAGGACTACTAACTAACTATAAACTATAAGAACTTTTGTAGTATTTATTTATTTATTTTTACAAAAGTAAATAAGAGATATCACCTATGGCTTCTGTTCAACGGTTGTGTATGTTAAACAGTTCCAATTTATAAAATTATATTTGTTTTTATTGAGCAAAATAATATTATGTTCTTAACATAATAATACAATTTTCTCTTAATTGAAAATGTGATACCTTGTGCCGCCTGTATGTAATAAATTAATTAGTTTTTATATGTAGCGTCGCGTAATTAGTCCGTTGACTGGGTAGAACAAAGTAGTTACACAATAGGGTCTATAAACCGACCGAACAATTTTTTCTTTTTATGTGGCCCAGGGGGCAAACGACGAGTCCCCTTGACAGTGACTACCGCCGCCCATTGACACCTGTGACTCATGGATCACAAGTGTGTTACCGCCCTTTCAGTTACTGCACCCAGAATCAGGGGGAGGGGGGAAGGGGAGCTTGGGCTCCGGTAACCTCACCTAACAGTGCGTAACAGTGCTCCGGTCGAGCCTGGCCCATATGTGCGAAGAATGGCTCTCGTACGATGCCATCCAATACAGTGTAGATTGTTATCCAATACAGTGTAGGTATACATCACCTCTCCAACTCTAATGTGACGACGTTTCCGCTCTGCTTGAGTGCATCGACGGCTCGTTGGTTAGACTTGCCCGCCAATGACACGCCATCCACAGCCACAATGCGATCGTTCACACGCACCTTCCCGCTCAACGCCGCAGCGCTGCCTGGCGTTACTGACTTTACAAATATACCAGACAGCTCTTCTTTTTCGCAGACATAACCTAAAAACAACTCCATTTCAGCTAACTTATTAATGGTATTTAATTAAAAAACATTTCTTTTCCTATCATTGTCCAAAGTGAATATACGTATTTCACGTTTTCTTCACAATGAAAGATATGATGAAAAGAAATGAAAATATTATTTCATTTCATCACATTTTCTTTAAAAGCATCGCCGAAACACAAATTCGTAGTCTAGACGAAAAATAGAACAATAAAACCTTGAATCATAGTACGCAGTTAAATTATAATCCTAACGAATAATAAAATATGAAGTCAATGAAATGATACGAGAAGCAAACAATTACTCTTTTTCTTTAAAAAATCATAAAGTTATACTATCCGAATTCTAAAATAAAACCGAAACTTTTTAACTGTGTTTTGTAAACTACTTAGCAAAATAAAATCACTTTACTGAGGTTTTGGATTATAATGGGCCCATATCTATTATTTACAGCAAGTTTTGACCCTGATAAGTTCTTAGAGCTAATTACCTGCTATTGTAATTCCAAGGCCATTCTCATCCTTCTTCAGCTGCACAGTGAATCTATCCACCTCGGGCGACTCGGCCTCTGTTTCGACTGGTGGTGTGATAGAACGATCGAAGATGAATCTAGATGCGTTTGCACTGTGTGCCACGGGCGTAGGCTGTGTGTGAAATACTTGCTCGAACCCTGCTTCCAGCAGGTAGCGGTCTAGAGCCTCTGGATCCGATAGAAGCCTGAATGTCAACCACACGTTTTGTTTAAGACTGAAGTCGCTTTATAATTAATTTTAACCACAATTTTTGTAAATTAATATTAATACTAAGCAGATAAAAAAGCGCCCTTAGGGTCATAGCTCATTAGACCCACTCGACACCCGACTAGCACCACCTCGTCGTGGTCGCCGCGTGCTCAACCAGTGAACGTCGGGTGGTCCACTACTGGACGCTGCGATGTGAACCAGTAACTGTCTAGTGGTCAACGAGTACACATTGCGTTGTCGGCCGGTAGATGAATTTGTCAGGGATCGTCATCGTCACACATACATAGTTCACCACCCGTATTGACCACTCGCAGTACACAAGTGGTCAATACTCCGCGAGGCGCTCCGGAGTTGATGTAGTGAGCGTATACCCATATAACTCCATACAAAGAATACTTACCGCTCGAGTGGTGTGAGAGTAGCTCTAATGAGCAAGCATATAAAAAAAGAAACTTCAAGAGGACGAAGTTAACGTTGTAAAAGGCACTCTATCGTTTGGCTACCGCCAGCCTAGAATAGTGTATGAACATTTGTAGTTATGTATATCTAAATCAATTATATCATCAGGTCCATATTTGCTTTGAAAAACATGAACCAAAATTATGACTCGTGCCAACTCGTACGGGCAACAGTTGAGTTTTAAATCTAGATCATTTAAACTCAACTGCTGCCCGTCTTACGTCAAAATATTTCTTGATTAAATATTTGTCAAATTATTAATGACCTCTTGGAGCAGATTTAATGGTGATGATCTGATGTTAGAGCCAACAAGAGGTTGGATGAATAAGAGTTAAAATAGAACTTTTTTAGTTTTTTGATTCGAATCGTTAGTAACATCTGTTTATTTTATAACTCTGTAAAGAGTAGTAACTTATTTTTTGAGCAATTTACCTGGCCGGTACAAGTGGAGCTGGGTGAGCCGAGTGATTGTGTAGAGGCGGAGCAGCGGGATCAGCGGCCCGTGCGACCACGAGGCGTACGCGTGAGCCCGAAGCACGCAACACTCCCGCCACCTGTTCCGACCCCATCTCCATTAGATGTGCCTAGAACAAGATGCACATATTCAAGTATTATATTCTTACACTTTGTTTTCTCTTTGGGTATACTCTCTTAAACGACAAAACTTAAATCATATCATTTCAGTTTTGTCTGCATCAGACACAAACAGATGGGTTTGTGACTAATGCAGACAACCCATTACGTAAAAATCAGGTATCACATATCAGAAATATATTAACTATCAAATTTAGAACCACATAATGAATGAAGGTAGAATGTACGCTAAGAACTCAGAAAATTTATCGACATATCTGAGAAAGGCTCAAAGTATCATCCAGTATTGGAGTAGATCATTTTTATGAAGCGTTTACAAATCTGGTACTTTCGTAATAACGTACTACAATTTTTGTGCTTCTAATCTGTTTTTAATAATTCTAAATTTACGACGCACTTAGTTTTCGAATGCTTTTGTTACCCGCTCAGAGATGTAGTATCATTAATAAGATCTTGGTATGATTACTGTTACCTTCATAAAGTAACATAGTTCAATTCTATACCATAGGTCTATAAAAATAATATTACATTCATTTATTTTTTACTAACGATAGATTGGTCATACCTAAGCGGTCGGCTGACTTGTGACCGTGATCGATTTGTCCTCGCATTGTTTTTTTAAACAACCGGTAAACATTATCATTCGTATTGTTCCCACAAAAATAGCGGACATGTGAATTAAATATAAATGAATGGGTTTGACTAACTATAAGTTAGCGTTGTAGCGCGTAGTGTTTTTTTTTTATTTGTATCTTTACGTGCCCGCAAAGTTGTCAACCATGACAAACTAAGATGGGCAATTAACAGCTTCCTACCATTCAAAGCGCCAGGACTAGATGGTGTCTTCCCAGGCCTACTGAGATGGTGTGATATGACACTACTAGACCATCTTGTAAAAATTTATAGGGGCTGCCTGGCGCATCAGTATATCCCCTTGAAATGGAGAGAAGTTAAAGTAGTCTTCATCCCCAAACCTGGTAAAGGGGACTACACACAACCCAAATCACACCGATCTATTAGTCTCACATCTTTCCTACTAAAGGTTCTCGAGAGGCTAATAGATAGGGAAATCAGGGAAACTGCGTTAGTCAGTCACCCTCTACACCTCAATCAACACGCATACTCGATGGGTAAATCAACAGAATCTGCCCTACATCGAGTTGTTTCACATATAGAAGACAATCTAAATCACAAGAGGTTAACACTGGCCACCTTTATCGATATCGAGGGAGCCTTTGACAAGACCAACTTCACCAGCATTAGCCAAGCTCTGTCTAGACATGGTGTTGATTCCACAATCTCAGGGTGGATCGACAGCATGCTAAGATATAGAGCTATTCAATTCACTGTGAGCGAAGTGACTAGAGGAGTGGTGGCTAGAGGTTGCCTCCAGGGCGGTGTACTCTCCCCCCTTCTATGGAACATTGTTGTGGATAAGCTCATCGCACAACTTAATGACCAAAGATTCCTCACAATAGGCTATGCAGACGATCTTACTATTCTCATCAGCGGTCCTTTTGAGAGCATTACATGCGATCAAATGAGACTTGCACTGAAGATCGTGGAACAATGGTGCGTAGCACACAACCTGACAGTGAACCCATCGAAAACAGCGATGATCATGTTCACAAACAAACGCAGCCTATGAAATCTCAGACTTCCCAAGCTATTTGGAACACAACTTACGCTGCCACAACGGCCATGTCAAGGGATATCAAGGACTACAACATTCGAATAATATCCGACAGCATGGCCGTCTTAAAGGCATTGGAGGGCAACACAATGACCTCTGGTATTGTTTTCGAATGAATCAAATACGATGCTGGGTCAGGCAACGGACCTGTGAAGCACACAACCGGAGGTGCAAAAACTCACCCGGCTGCAGACAGTCCAAACTGGTGCTGAATCAAGTCACACCACGACTCACCTGCAGATTGATCGGTCTTAGCAGACCGGAAATCAGAATGGTTGTCGGAACTATTACAGGACATCTAGCCCTGAACCGACAACTATTCATAATCAATGCGACGGACAGTTCCCTGCAGCAGAGGATGTCTGGAAGCTGAAGAAACGGCCGTCCACGTAATCTTGGAATGCGAGGGAGTGGCCACACAACGGGCAAGTATCATTCCCGATATAAAGTCGCTCCTAGAAGCCTGTGAACGCCCCAGGAGGCTTCTGCGCTTCTGGAAGGAGCTTGGCTGGCTCACCTAGTCAACCAATCCTCGACGCATAAAGGACCACTCTGAGTCTAAATGCGGAAACCGAAGCCCACAACCAATATCAATACCAATACCTGCCTGCCAAAAATATAAATTTAAGCCCAAGTAAAAGCATATATGAGTGGTAAGTTGTATGTCACTACATACACTCATGTCTTGTCTTTATCTCCAAATAATCTTTTCTAATCCTGTAACATTTTATTTGTTTTAATATGTATGTTTTTAAAATTTATAAGTATGTTTATCAGCAGACTGGTTACCATAGTACAAGCTCTGCCTAGTTTGGGATCAGCAGCTGTGTGTCTCAAGTTATTACTATTATTTTATACGCTATGATGTAGTACACTATACTTTTTAAAAATGATAAAATGCGTATTTGGAATAGAATAATATTTAATAATAATTTAATCTTATATATAAAATTCTCGTGTCACAATGTTCGTTCCCGTACTCCTCCGAAACGGCTTGACCGATTCTCATGAAATTTTGTGTGCACATCGGTAGGTCTGAGAATCGGCCAACATCTATTTTTCATACCCCTAAATGGTAAGAGTGACCCACCCCTTTTTTTTTTTTTTTGCAATACAACGTTTGCCGGGTCAGCTAGTATATCTGTATAAACTAGTACTATGGTAAACAGACTGCTGATAAACATACTTATATATTTTAAATACATACATATTATAGATAAATTACACCCATATAACAAATGACCGTGCTGATCACACAATATTTGTCCTACGTAGAAAACGAACCCATGACTTCCGGCTTAGCAGTCAGGGCCATTGACCACTACACCAACAGGCCCGTCGTTAGAATAATTAATTACACACATTTAATCATTTGACTGCACCAATGGCGTAGTGGTTTAAGCGGTCCGATCCCCATATGGAACACCACTTGGGATTCACAAATTGTTGTTTTGAGTCTGGGTGTTCTTTGTGTCCGTTTCATATATGTTTATAAAGTCCCCCGTGACAGAGGATATATATTCCTAACGCGGGAGCTGTCTTATAAAAGAAAAAAAAAGAAATCTAATTAGCAGTGACACTTTATAATTGCTTTATCTATACTTCATACATTACTTGCTTTGAACTGGAACGAGAGAGAGAACATGAATTTCTATGTTAGCCATATAATTTTGTGTAAATTTTACCAGTATAGCCTAACCAGAAATGTAATAAATACTTAAAACTTACTTGTTTTAGTAAAGGCTTCTTGTGCTCCCAGATCTTTTACAATTACTGTCATATTTAAAAACCTTTATTGTAATGTATTCATTTGTGAGAGTATTTTTTTGACTTACATCTCCTATTTGTAGAATGTGATCTCCTGATTTCAAACGACCATCTCGATCGGCGACTCCACCCGCTAATATAGTTTTAACAATCACTCCACTGGTTCTAGCGCCTATGATACCTGTAAAAATCAATGAATGAAACAGGTAAAACTAAAGTTTCAAAGTTTAAAAACGTAAAAAATATTGGTTTGATCTGATTGGATCTTTATTAATGTGAATCCTAGGTACTTGAAGAAACAAAATTTATTAATATTCATATTACATATACTCACGTATAAATGCGTAATGCCTGTTCATATTGGTGTATAAAAACACGTCTCAATTAATTTACACATTATACGTAATTTATATTAAATTGTCGTCTTGTACCTAGCATCATAGTCAAGTGACCGGCTGAAACACAGGTCGCACAACTAACTCAGGCCAAAAGGATTAATTTATAATATTTTGATTTTCCTTTTTTCTATTTACTCTTGCACATTTTAGAATAGTCATATATTAGTTTTATGTTAGCTTAAGTAATAAGCTTTAAATAAGAATCTAATCTAGTGTAGTACTCCCATGTGTCGATTGTTTAGGCTTATAACTACAATAAAATAATTTTGAATGGCAATAAGATGTAAATCATATACAAAATGTAACCAAGACCTTTTTCTTATTCTGCAAATCAATTTTTTTATACATATATTTTTACATGAAAACACAACATAAACTGATTGATGGACAGATGTATTCATCAAATACAGATACAAATCTTATAACTATTATGAAATTCCATCCTAAATGGCACGTTTTTTAAGATAAGTAGAACTCACGAGTACTGAGGAATAGTAAAATAGTAAAAATAATCACCAAATCCAAGTCCAGTGCCGTCGTTGACTAGATTTATGATCTCAACCTGTGCCCAATCACTGGCTACAATATTGTTAGATCCAGATGCCAAAGAATCATCATTTCGTGATAGGTCCAAAAGCCCTCGATTCTAGAAAAAAATAAAACGTAAGTATGCTATTGCAACATTACACATTAATACAGTTGTTACAAAAATACAACTTTATTTACTTGTTTAGGAGACATGTTAGAGTCCACAGAACCACTATCAAGGCCAAGAATGCGTTCATTGTCAGAACTGGAACCAAACTCTAAACTATGAGGTGGTGAGACCTGTGGTACTCTTTGTTCCTCCTCACCTTCATGTCCACCATACAGATTCCTTGTTTGAAGAGCAAGGTCACCTGAAAACCAGTTACTTAAATGATAATGCAAAATAAATTTAATAGTTTAGAGGTCCATCTTTGGTGTAATGTCTAATACATGAATTGAACTTATTTCACAAGTGTAATTAATTAAAATAGCACCATATTTAGTTGTCACTGATCATCAGCCTATTGTCATATATCTAGTTGTCACTGATGCACTGCAAAGGGGGGGGGGGTTGTATCATCAATTATCAAACAGGGGACAGAGCGAGATCCATGCGTCAGTATTTTTTTAATGCAAATGGGCTATAATTTTATTGCATAGACTATTGTTAGTTACAAGTGAAGATAATAAAATGTGTAAATATATTACCCCATACATTTAAATTCTTACCTGCTGGTGTAATGTCAAAATCTCCTGGAATTATTGAAGGATGGTGTGCCACTTGAGTTGCAAGCATACCCACAGAATCGTGAAGTGTAGCTATACTTTTTAGTATTGGACTTTCCAATAAATTAATTAACATATTCAAGTCATCATTTGCTGCAGCCTGCAATGAAAGGTTGTGCAAAAAGAAAGAAGTAGTATGATACAAAATGGCTAAGTTTACAAAATATATATTTCTTAAAACCACTAGGTAGTGAAGTGAATGGAGGGCTAGGAGCAGGGATACAAAGCTCTACTTACCAGCAGATAAAAATTATGTACAACTAAAAGTTTAAATATACATATGTACTTGAAATTTTAATATTTTATTATTGGCTAACTTAGGAGATTGATATTGGCCAAAAATTTCTACACAAGGGATAGAAAGAAATATTCCTTCTTGTTAAGGTTTAGAGTTAATTAGATACTTCATTGAAACAAAATATTATTTCTACACATTTAAACCAGATAGTATAAAATCATAGATCACTAAATGAAGTATTTTAAAACTTACAGTCATAAAAACAACAATAAAAATAAAATGTAGTTAAGAATATCAGTTACAAGGTTTTTTCTGATTTCAAATCTCGAAGAGAATGAAGCCAAAGCATTTTTTATTAGAAATGTTGATTACTACCTTTTTTACTAATGAACTTTGGTCAACAAATTTAAATAAAAAACAAAAACTATCAACAATATATCAGTTTCAACAATAGTCGCCACCCGCGCCGCGGCACATAATCTATTTATCATAAATAATAGCTAAGGTGTGTCATTGGCCTAAAGTTTCAAACACAGACATACCTTTAACTTGGGATCATCACTTTGATCAACAGCTGCTTTTACGCTTTCTAATTGTTGTAAAGCGTTGGATATATTCATGCCCAGATGCATGCTGGAAATAAGCATAAAACTATTAACTATTGCATCATTGCAATTTTAAACAAATACAAATAACTTAAAACATGATCATACTTTGCAATTTGTGGCACCGATGAATAATAATGAAAAGTATTTTGTCAAATTTCTACTCAAACTAAGATATGTTTGATTTATTCTCGCAGCGCTTATTCAATCTTGTCAATAATAATGCACACACGTCAATAACAAATAACAAACTTTTATGAATTTTGTAACAATTCCGTATTGTATTTTCTACGATAAGATTTGTCAAGCTGTCAAGTTTCTTTTGATTATTCCACGACGAACCATTTTTTTTTTTTAATTTAATGACCTGGTAGCTAAGACCTTTAAGTCAAGGCTTTTTTTTTGCGACGAACCATCTGTTTCAGGATTAGAGTTGAATAACGCCGATGTTTGATAGTTCCATCGAAACCATGCTATAATGCTGATTAATCGAAATTACCTTAAGAAACAATTTCCAATAATTAGTTAAAGTTAGTAATGGTGCTTCTACACGGTGCAAGTAGCTGGAGCAGGCAAAGACACTGGGCAGGGCCGTGAAAGTCCTCAATAGCTTGCTTTTACGTTGATACTTATTACTTGTTTAGAACATGACTGTATTCATTAAATTTATAACAAAACTAGCGATTTATATTGTGGTCCACAGTTGGTGTAAGGGCGTAAACCCAATATTAAAAGGTAAAATTGTAAACATCGACCAAAGCGACCTTGTGAAAGTACAGGCCTTGTGGACGTATCACTTAAAAAGGAGTAAAAATAAAGTTACGGAAAATACATAATCAAGTTAGTTTGATTTTCTAAATAACAAAATATGAATTATACTGAACCTACAAAAATATACTGATGGTAACGCCCCCTAGTGTATTATTAAGGTAATCGCAAAGCCAGCGCCATCTTTTAGGCACCAGTCTCGTCACCCACTTTTTTGTTAGAGTTGCGCATCTCTACCATATACGAGTATAGTTTATTATCTATGACACTGGGCCTCAATCAAGTACTCTGTGGCCTCAATTCTGCTATTTTATATTCACGCCAAGCCACTGTCTATATCACTGTCATATATATATATAATATATATATACATTATATCATATATATATATATATATATTATACAGGGTTACAAGAAAAGTCGTGCAAAATCCGTTAAGGGCGTGGAGTACCCATCATTTCTGACATATTTCACTATGAAACACCCTACCCTAAACTTAACCCTTTTCGAGATAATCGTCTTTTAATTTTTTTATTGAAATTTGCTGATTTTTAGGCTACTACATTTATTTTTGTTTATTTTGTGTATCTTATTATTATTATTTTTGCATTTTTACATTTGTAATAAGATGCTTTAGGACGTCAGTCATTAAAATAGTTCATAAGTTAATTGAATAGATCGTAGTAGACAAGTGAAAGTAAAGAAATAAAAAAAAAATTAGAAAATTATTTTTCTCTAACGGATATCTAAAAACAATATTATGGTAATTGTTCGGCAGATGTTTTTTAAAATATCTACGTTTCATCAGCTATCTAACGAGGTATAATAATCTAAGGTTTTATTCAAATGCATTGAAAAAACTTTAGTTTTATAGGCGACAGTGGAGAAGAAAATTTATACTTAGCCCAAAAAAGTAAAATAAAACAATAGTTAAGCATGAAATGTCATTTATTAAAGGTTTTCACACAACTTTTTCTTATTCTACAGTTCATGTTCAACATGGCCGCCTCTATTTCTGATACATTGTCGCATCCTTCTACGGAGACCAGTCTTCACTACTCCAGTGGTCAACGTGGGCCACGAGGCAAGGATCTGGCGGATGGGACTCGAGGTGTCTCTCCACAAATCTGAGGCCTTGTTCTTTCATGAGCCTCCTCCACCTCCTTCTGCGAGCAAGTTATTTTCCAGAAGATGAGGGTGGAGCGGGACCTAAAGAGGTTTAAACTCTCTCGGCCAGATACTGAGGTCGCCGAATGACTCCCATCCTGCATAAGTGTATTCCTGGGGCTGAAAGTGAGGCCATCTATAACTAAAAAAAGAAAGATCCAGACAGCTTATTAAGAACTGCTTTCGGATCCCTCCTATTTTAGGTTTTTATTTGATTCGATTCCGATACACTGCCACACCACAAACCCCAGTGGGGTGACAGCCCATGTACCTCCGTAGCTACAGGTAAAAATCGGTTGTCTGTAAAGTCGGTTTACTGACGATAGTTGAACGTGACAACGTCATAACACTGTCGAACGCTGCCGAACGCGGAGGCCGATTGTGCCTCTTTGTCACTCGTTCCGCGCTCTTGCTTGCACTTAATGGAACGCCTCAGAGCGAGGTAACGCCGCATGAGTAATGTTTTTTCGTGCGTGCAGCCGGCTCCATCGAATTATAAGACGTTGTCACGTCAAAATCGGTTGCCTGTAAAGTCGGTTTACTGACGATAGTTGAACGTGACGTCATAAGAAAATACTGATGGAATGGTTGCATTTTTCAAAAATGTATTATTGTATACGAGTAGCAGCTGTCCACGCGGACGCATCGCTCACTCAAGTAGGAGAGAGACAGATGTCGAACGCTGCCGAACGCGGAGGCCGATTGTGCCTCTTTGTCACTCGTTCCGCGCTCTCGCTTGCACTTCACGCCTTAAATGGAACGCCTCAGAGCGAGGTAACGCCGCATGAGTCATGTTTTTTCGTGCGTGAAGCCGGTTCCATCGAATTATAAGACGTTGTCACGTCAAAAAATAAGTTCTAGTATAGAAATGACCACCAAACTTTGGAGTCATAACTATCACATATATGCTAGAGATAAGTAGGGGAGAGGGGCCCCGATGAGATTATTGCCTAGGGCGCTCTTGATTAAGTATCAATCCGTCTCTGTTTATAGGGTCTCAACTTTATACCCTAAATGGGTGAACTCAATGTTCGTAACATCTTTCGATACGTCTGTTACACCGTGGCCGCGTCCTAATATTAGATAAATTAATATTTTAGTTCTGTTATACATTAAGAAGGGCGTCTCAGCCGAGAACTGTATTAAACAATTTTTCTAAATTTTATTTGCAGTGTTTACTAGGTGTATTTCCGATCAAGGAATATGATACGCGAGAATAAAAACCTCGCGTTTAATTAACGTTGCGCGGACAGGCCCTAAGTGTCATTTGGCAAAAAAACTGCCATAAAATCGTACCGGCGCGGCACAGAGTACATTGTAAAATACTGAAATAGAGGTATATCTGAATCGCTTTTGGAGGAAATTACAAAACAACGCCATCTATTAGGAGCGAGCAACAACTTTTCTCTTACTCAACATTTGAAAGGATATATTTATACCTACATATCTATAATATAGGTAATACTTATTGTATACAGTATTGTTTATATTATGTACAAATATACCTATGCAATTAGAACTGTGTAAAATAAAACAATGTATAAAAAAAACGTTTACTTTCTTCTTTTCAAGACAATAACGTTTAACAGACATTGCAACACAAAAATAAAGCGTTAAAAATAAGTGTCTCTACCTCAATACTACTCGAAAACAACACACAAGGCTAACAAAGATCAAAAGAACCTAGGCTCAACTCACGCATTAATGAAGATATCAGAGAATAATTGTTATTAGTTCCAAGCAAGTAAACATTCAACCACCAAAAAAGTGCCGGTATGAATGTCATGTTGACGGACAACATTCATAACGACAGCTGTTGCAAATGTTGCTGCATTAACGCTGATGAAAAGTACCAAAACAATGGCAATGATGAAATGATACAGGCACTAAGTTAGGATTTCTTAGAATCGTGTGTTTTAGTCCTAAAAAATTTTTAAAGTTTTCAAAATTTTTAAAATAACATTTATCAATTTTATCATACAAAATAACTACCAACTCAATGTATAAAAAAAATAATGGCAACATTTTATTTCCATAAGTCACTTTATAACGATTCCAGAAAATAGTGATATACGTTCTGGGATAATAAAAACTAAAACAACTCACTTTGTTTTATGCGGATTATACCGAAAGTTACGACATCTATAAGTATCGACTGGCGAAATTACATGACGTACACACGTATTATACGCCTAAATGAAGTGTACGTAATGTTGTTAAAATTTTAGAACAAATAAAAAACCATTGTATTTTGTTTCACTATTTTCGTAACATTCCAAGGATTGTCGACTAAGATTGTACCGCCTGCGGCGCGGTGATAGGTTTATCACGGACTTGTCGGCGGACAAAAATGATACCCAGTAACGCTACGTGCGCGCACATTTATATAAACTTACAGTCCGGACTAGAGTGACAAACAAAACAGTCATGATGACAAAAGTCACCAGTGCGTGCACCTATGAAATAATATGCTTTATACTGTTTTTAAACATTTTGTCAATAATAATAAAATATAGGAAGAACGGTAGTTGTTAGGGCTGAATCGATCACTTTTTTTAGGGACCCGTTGAACGTTCACCTTTTGCCAAGCTCGCAGTGCTGGAGACTTTTGTATAAAAGAATTAATTCATTAATTCATTCATTTTTCTTAATTAATTATCAAATATAAATAACAATTGTACAAAAAATATATATATATAAAATAAAAAAGTAAAGAAATATAAATAAAAAAATATGAAAAACAAAAAAAATATATAGATATATATATATATATATATATTTGTATTTTAAAATATTAAAAGAATTTGCAATACACCCTGGGGATTATTTATTATCAGTACAAGTTGATCATTCACTTTTACTATTAAATGCCATTATTTATACATAGGTAAAAATAAGATTGTATCATGAAAGTAAAATATTCACATAAACTTATAAAAAAGAGTCTAAAAGACAATCTAAATTCTATTAGCAACTGGCAACCCTAAAAATTTATATGTCAACACTTTTCCGTTTGTTTGAATTGTTTGTTGATTTCAAAGAATATAGCCTAACTAGAGGAGCTCAGACTCAAATTTAATTAATATTGAGTGAAAACGAAAGATATGTAATATTTTTAAATTTTATTTATAAAAAATATGAATTGACGATAATGGCTGCTCGTCTTGATGAAGTAATTGATTTATCTGATTCTTTTGTTTTGGCGGATCATCGTGCTTTAAATAATGATGTGATTGAATTAGATACTGACGACTCTGGTTTGATTGAATGCGACACAAACGATTCCGTTGGTATGTTTTTTAAATTAACGGTATTAATTATATCTAAAATTATATTATAGAGGCACTTCCTTATCGCGATGCAGTGATGTACGAGTAGGGTACTTGTGATACAAGAATACCCTATTCGTACATACATCTATCTATATGCACTACCATTTGATATTCCTTTGCGGCATTGTCGGAGCATTAGCTATCATCTAACCGGATCGGCAAGGGATGTGGGATAGTATTAGATAGAGATGACGTGCAGTGGTTTCCACTCCATTAGAACACAGTCTGGCGGTTTTGATCCCTAGCAGGTGCATTGGTGACTCCTGCCCACACATCATAAATATTGAAATAGTTTTTTTTTATCATTTTCAGTTGAACTAGTAGAAATACCCAATTCACTTACAATAACTGAAGTTCGACAAGCTGTCCAATCAAGAAAACCAGACAAAAAGAAAGGAAATAGCCCTTTGGGATACACTTCCAATAAATATAAGGTATTTTAGTAGAAAGTTTTATATCACTGGACATAAATATGAACTAGCATTAAGAAGCTTGATTCTTTGTTTTCTTTTCTTCCAGCTTATTGTTAGGAACCCCCAAAATATAAGATAGAAATTTACATACTTAAAAAAGAAACTTTTTTTTTTATCATGTGTGGTTTATCAAATGCATAAACAATAATTTGAAAATAGTATAGCTTTAAACATATACACCTTGATTAGAGATTGAATATGTTCAAATATTAATTTATAACATCATTTTTTGTTCAATTTGATACTTCTCTGTAAAGCACAATTTTGAAAAATTATAGACCTCGTTATTTATCTTATGTTTGTTTCAGACTGAGGTGAAAAAGTCAAAAATAAATGATAAGCTGAATTCTAATGAAACACAGATGAAATTTGGTGAATGCCCTATTTGTTTTGACTTACTGGGTCAAAATCCTTTAGCTTCAACAAAATGTGGTCATGTCTACTGCATGAAATGTATTGAGCGATATCTGCAATTTGATAAAAAATGTCCTACTTGCAGACAGATCTTAAGAGGAAAAACAGCATATCATCCATTGTATTTAAATAGATAAATATTTATGTAAATTAGTAGAAAGTTCATAATAAATGTAAATAAGATTGAAAAAATAAGCATGTCAGAACATGTATTACTAAAATAAATTATTTATTTTATTAATTTCTTAGTATATTATTATGTCCACCATCATAACATCTAGTTGTTTGTGCACCTTACAATGTCATCATGTGAAACTTTATTGGGGTTGCCGCCGCATTGGAATACAACAAGTGGATGTCTCGGTTGATAAGATCATCATTTATTCGACTATTATAAAATTAACAAAAATTTCTCTGAATTTAAATGCTAATGCAAATAAAAGCGAACGAACTACGAAGATACCTTTTATGACAGTTGTGAGATCGAAAGTTGATCGGAACTGAGTGTGACCGAACTTTTATTACGAGAATTGGCGTTCTGATATTCACGCGTCGCCTCGCGGCCTAACCGGGCGCCGCGTCGCATTGCAGCCTAACCGGGCTCCGCGTCGCATTGCAGCTTTGTCCCGTTTTATTCTACCCATTCTACCTTTTAAAATGCACTAGCCTTCTGTCTTTTCGAATTCTTTGCTCTTGAACTTGATGAGGAATGCTTATTTGAGAGCAATGTAAATACTCGTATTGTATCGTAATAAAATAAGGTTATCTTGAACTTGCATAAAACATTAAGCACAAGCCTATGCGTATGTGTGTATACTACGTGTGCGTTACCCCAGCAAAATAATGTCGAAAATGGTCATTTAAACTTTATAGATAATTAGTTGCTCCCCTTCTGTAATTGTTAAGCACATTTTTAAATTTGTTTCACTTAAACTTTTTTAGTTATTTCAAAAAAACATTTCCTGCTGGAGTAACGTTTGAAACGTTACCGCAGCCAGACATTTTCTTTTTTAATTGTAATATTGAAATAAATTTTAGCTAGATAATTAGTTATCTGGACTAGGTAAATGTTACAACTTATTTGGTATTTGTATTTTCTTCGGTTGCGAAGTTATTCGAAATCCTGCTGGAGTAACGTTTGTGGGTTTGCTGGATCTCTGAAACGGGTAAGCGGATTGTAACCATCTTTTGTACATAACTTCTTAAGGATTAGTTTTAATTTGTTCGACAATAAAATAACAAAAATAATGGACCGTTTAAAAATTATTTAGGTAAGTATGAAAACACTTCAATACGTCCTAACACTTTAAATAAGACCTCTAAAGACTTACTTGAAACGTTATTCTATTGCTTGTAACTACCTTCAAATGTATACGAATTTTCGTAAGAATACTGTAAGTGACTAAAAAGTTATGATGAAATGTAGCTCTCCACGTTCACGATCACAATGTGTGGGGCCTTTTTTGGCCACCGATAAACCTGTGTGTGGATATATAAACTAAATGTTATGCCAATAATTAGTTGTTTAGTTCAGTTGTCTACCTGTAAAATTTCAGCGTAGTACATATAACAATTTACGAGATAATTAAATAAAAGTCATTATAGTCTGTCAAGAAAGTCATGAAAAAAATGGAGGGCGCCACTGCTGTTATACCTGGTATCCCTGTGTACTTTGACTAAAAGATGTAGATACTTTTTTTTATAAAACAATATATTGTTTTATTTTGCCAGAATCCCTGTATAAACCCGCGTAGGGTTTATGACTGCAAATATTTATTCATTATAAACGTCTTGATTTTGTAGGACAAATTAAAGTGCTAAGTGCTCGTTTGCTCAAAATTATTTATTTCAAACTTATTTCTCTCTTAAAAACCAAATATACTTCCTGGCTTGTGCTCTCCCACTTATCTTATATCTTCCTGGGGGGGGGGGGGGTAACAAAATCACTTTAAAAAGAGCTGAAATAGCTCTAAGTGCTATTTTGAAAGTGTGTTTATTAAACCTTTTTACACTTAATTTAACACAGTATAATGAGAAAATACAGAACTACCTGCTTAGCCTTATTTTGATGATACAGAAGGGCTATTACATTTTCGTAGCCAAAGATAACTTGTATTCAGCTAGACAAATACACCAACACAGGCAGTATGTATGAATATATGTATGTATGTATGTATGTATGAATATGTATGTAAGCCAGACAGTCACATGGTGTTTTTTTTTTTTTTTTTTTTTTTTTTTTTTAATTTAAAGGGCTTTGTCGCTGTGCGACCACATCGCCCTGTGACAGTACGAATTTATTAGTTAACATCTAACATAGACACATCTCTACCAATTTATATAATTTCCGGGCTTCAACCGACACAGGGTTAGCCAGAACACTATTACAAAGGCCGATATTCATACCTCTCGAGACCCCTAAATGTTCCCTGTAAGTTCTGTTCCTTACACATTCAAAAATAATGTGTAATATATCATCGGTTACACAGCAGTCCTCACAGTTGGGAGATGAGACTTTTCCCATTAAAAATGCGAATTTCTTAGAAGCTATATGACCTGTTCTCAACCTTAAGGCAGTTACCAAAGCTTTTCTATTAAGTTCCACGTTTTCGATCCATGGGTATTTAGGCACTTGCGGCTGTATTGTACGGTACCAAATACCCTTCTCTCTCGATCTCTCATCAAAATATTCCTGCCAACACATATGACATTTCTCTTTTACGACTCTGGTGTAGTCAGTATGTAAAGGCAATACTTCTAATGCAATGCCATTCCAACATGCCTCTTTTGCTAATTGGTCCACAATATCACTCTCCCCAATACCAACATGTGAGGGAATCCATTGCAGAACAATTTTCCTACTTAGTGATTGAAAATTTAGGATTGACTCCAATATTTGATAGGCTATCGGATTACCTCGCATGTGCGAGGTACATCGAGCCAAATGTTGCAAGGAGCTTTTAGAATCAGTCAGAATCACGAATTTATCATACTTAATAGATTGAACGTATGATAAGGCTTCTGCTATAGCGATTAACTCAATGTGCATTATAGAAATATTGGAATCAATCCTAATTTTGATGCCGCAGTCGTTGAATGGGTCGAAAAATGCAGCACCACCAACTCGTCCGTCCTTGGATCCATCTGTATAAATCTTATGATATCTGTCGTATCGTTGATCTACAAAATTGACACAAGTGTTTCGCAGGTCACAAGGTTTATACAAATGTTTACCTTTATTGACTGATGGGATGGAATCACAAACCACCCGCGATAAATCTATACTGCTGACCCATGTTTGCAATGAATACATCTCTAACTGGTTACACGAATGTAGCACCATCGAATCTAAGGATTGGAAAATAGATGTGAGTAAGGGACGTCGTTTGTTGGTCCAATAAGAAGAATGTGTACTCTCCGATAGTTCCTGCACACCGGTAATTGTCTTATTATTATTAAACGTTTTAGCTTTTAACCCGAATTTACAAGCCAAGTATTGCCGACGATATTGAAGTGGTGGTAAGTGTAATTCACTCTCCATTGTGTGTATTGGAGTACTCCGGATAAAGCCTCCTATAACCCGCAACGCTTGGTTCTGGACTTTGTCGAGTTTATATAAGTACGTTTTACAACTATTGTCATATAAGAAACTACCATAGTCCAATCTACTTCGGATGAGAGATATATATAAACGTCTTACATGTTTTTGATGAAGACCCCATCCCCGTCCGACTAGTACCTTTAATATATTTACTAACTTGGATACCTTTAAGACAGTCTCATTAATATGTTTTCTCCATCTTAATGAACCATCCAACCACATACCAAGATATTTCACCTGGTTGACAGTAGCAAGAGAGACGTTATCAATTTGGAATTCAATAGTATCTCTGGAATAACCTTTCCTAAATATGCAGATTTTACTTTTAGTCGGTGAGATCACAAGCCCTAAGTTTGATAGCAATGAACTCAGGTCGAGGCAGGCATTTTGTAATTGTACTGCTGCATTACCTATCTTTTTATCTGATTTGTATAAAACAAAATCATCCGCGTATTGCAAGATTTCAACATTTTGTATCTTTTTACATATGTTTGAGGTTGCTATGTTGAATAGTAGCGGGGAAAGTGGATCTCCCTGAGCTAAACCACGACCGGTGGTTCTAGATATATCGACACCATCAACGTCAACGTGCAATCGTCTATTTTTTTAAATACGCCCAAAGGTACAAGCAAATCCGAGAGCCAACCCCATAGCTATCCAATACTTTGATTAAACATGCCAAGTCTACATTATTGTATGCGTTGTCTATGTCGACGAAGCATGCAGCAGTTATTAAATTTTTTGAAAAACCAGTTTGAATGTAGGAAACCAACCGTGTCAGATTATCTAAACAGGATCTAGATTTACGAAAACCTACCATATTATCTGGGAACATATGACCTTTTTCAAAGTACCATTCCAATCTTTTATTTAAAATGCTGTGTAGAATTTTACAAAAACAAGAAATTAGTGATATTGGGCGTAATGCACTATCTGAATACATATCCCGACCAGGCTTCGGAATAGGTATAATTTGTACGTTACGCCACTGAAGAGGTACAAAGCTATGATTGAGAAATTGATTATATAGGGTTAATAAAAAGGATTTACCTATAGGTGGAAGGTTTGCTATCATAGAAAAGGACACGTCATCACTACCCGGTGCAGTGTCGGTACGTTTTATAGAATTTTTTATTTCTTGAAGAGTAATAGGGGACTCCAAATGACTATTTTTCGATTGAATATTAGGTTGAGGTGGACATACAAAATCTGGGGTGATATCGTTTAAGAGCTTCTCTATTTTCTCTTTGTTTATGTGTTGTAATGTATGGTGTGTATGACCTTTAATCCATTTCATTTTCCGCCAAAGTATTCTTGAGGAAGATGTTTCATCCACGGATGAACAAAATTCCTGAAAAGATTGCCCTCTGGCTAGCCGAATAGCACGCTGTGCATCTCTTATTTTGTTTTGCAGTATAACTAAGTTACCAGGGGATGGACATCGTCGCAAGTTGGCAAGGGCCAGGCGGCGCTCGGCTACCGCTTTTGATAGCTCTGCGTTCCAATAGGGTTTAGGTGTAAATTTGCTGGTTATTT